TAGGACGAAGAGATATTCCACATTCTACAACATAGGATTTTCTTCTGCGTCTTAGGTAATGGTTAAGAAAATAATGAGTACTGCACAGATACACGGACTCCAACTCGGAATCTAATTCGGACTCTGTGGAATAAAATTGGTCACTAAGCACTAAATCAACAAAAGATAACATAATTTCAAATTTTCTACCTACTGGTGGAAAAAATTTAATTTAAATCTGATTAAAATAAACTAGCAGTATTTTTAGTTTTCTGACATATGTATGCGATATTTTAGGTTAGAGATTATTGAGACACATTAAGTTCGCGCATATAAAACCCATTGCTCAATTCAACATTTCATTGTTCGGAACGCTTCTGCCGGATTCTTGAAAATTCATACTCCTAGTTGGGTATCATAACCGTTTGTTACCTTTAAAATTTTAAGAAGTTAATAAGTACCTAAGCAGTTGCTAAGGGCTGGGGTGGCTTTGGCGGTGTCGCTCGATATCGCCAATGCGTTTAACACCCTGCCCTGGTCCGTGATAGGGGGGGGGGGGGTCGCTGGAACGACATAGAGTGCCCTAGAGTGCCTGCCTTCGCCGGCTGGTGGGTTCCTACTCAGAGGACAGATCGGTCACGTGTACCGGACACGGTGGGATCCTGCACCGGTTCCCGGTCGTGCACGGTGTTCCACAGGGCTGCTCGGCCCTCTTTTGTGGAATATCGGGTATGACTGGGTGCTCAGACTGCTGATAGTCAGTTCGATTCTGACATACCCCGCCCAGTATCCCCAGAGAAGGGCGGAAGTCCGGCGATTTCCTAAAAGGTTAAGCAGTTGCTAAAGTTGCATTTCCATATTAATGTTTACGATTATATATATATACTAGCTGTCCCGGCAGACTTCGTAGTGCCTCCATCCAAAAATAAAAAACTTAAGCTTTTGTATAAAATAAACTTAAAACAAACAAAAGGAATCCGTCCGACGGGGGACACATCAAAGGAAAAACAAAATTGTTGTTTTTATTTAATTCGGAGCATTTTCACATTTATCTACCTTTTAAACCTTCTCTGGACTTCCACAAATAATTCAAGACCAAAATTAGCCAAATCGGTCCAGCCGTCTCAAGTTTTAGCGAGAGTAACGAAAAGCAATTCATTATTATATATAATAAATAAATAAATATTTACTAACAATCACGCCACGTTAACTGGTCCCGTGATAAGTTCGTAAAGAACTTGTGTTACAGGTACCAGATAACGAATATAAATGTAAGATTTTTATTATACACATACATATATTTTAATATACATCCATAACCCTAGAAAAGACATTTATATTTATCATACAAATATCTTCCCTTGGCGGGATTCGAACCCGCGACCCCCTTGTGTAGTGACCATGTCACTTACCACTACACCAGACGGCCGTTATAGAGATTTAATATAGTATGTAGTGAAACACGAAGATGAATATGAGTCATGGCAATCATTTCTCGGTAAGAGCCATACATACACTTTGTCTAAATAGAACAGAGTTTCAGGGAGTGATGATTAATTAATTTTAAGGAACGTGTTAGGGAAATACCACAGGAAATAGAGCGAAATTAATTATTTTTTTTGGCTGACTAACGATACTACCCGCCTCGTTCGTGTACGTTGACAATACCATAGACACAATGGCCCTAATGCCAATTTTTTTGGAAGGAAGTTCCTCATGGGGCGATACGGAGGGGTACCATGACCGGGAAAAAACGTCCGTAACGTAAGATTTTTATTAGTAATGCACACAGTGTACGATTTAACTTTGTAATAACGTACAAAAAATAACATATTTTTATTATAATATATTTTTTATAAATCATTGTGAATAAAATAAAGTTGATAAGTTTGTAAAGTAGTTGTTTTTATTTTTATCAATAAAAAAACCATAATAAAAAATGTATACCCGAAAAATTCTTTTCTTTATACCTCGAATAGAACTTAAAATTAATATTTTTATTATAAGGAACTTCGTTCCTATCCGGTGTCCCACGACACCACACATCTTTTTTTTATTTACTTGTTATTTTGTTTGTTATATTTTATCTATTTAATTTTAATATCAGGCTTAAACTACTCTATGACTAGTGTTTTCGTCATCCGCGTAGGTGACTGCCTCTGGGATCGATCGCACACCTGTGAGCAGTGCTCTGAGAATTTGTTACATTTTTGTTGTAGTTGATATTCATGTAAAATTAATTACTTCTTCCCGGCAAAGCGAGAAATTGCTTGACTTCAAATTCTGTTGATTATTTCATATAAATACAACAATATTGACTAATTGGGTGAGAATTAAATTCATAGAAGGAAGATTATTTTTGCGGTTTCCTGGTCCCATATTAATCACTATGGAGAATAATTTGAACCTTTAATACGCTCGTGCGTCAATGAAAACAAATAAGAAATGAATCAGACAATTTCAAGCCAATTGAAAACATGATTCACAGGATCGACCCAGTTAGAGGGCACACTGCTAACTTTGCGTCCCCATATTCATTTCGTAGTAATTCAAGAGTTTTGCAAACGACATCAAAATATAATTCCAATGCGTGAAATAAGTTCATTGATCTCACATCTTTGTGACTCTCGATTGAGCATTAAATATCATCGAATATAAACTTTTATTAATCTCTCATATCTGAGTAAATCCATAATGGTAAGTTATAACAATGGCGCATAATTTGATGATATCCATAAGTTGATTATTTATTATTAGACGTGCGGAAGGAACAAGGCACATAAACCTCCGCTCATCGTCAAGGGCATGTGTATGGACATGTGGCCGACACATAAGTGTAAGTTATTGTCATTTGTGTGTTCACGCCTTATGTACTCTTTAGTATAAAGAAAACACCAATGTTGTATGTATTTGGGAATATGTATATTGAAACATTTTTTTTTATTGCTTACATGGGTGGACGAGCTCACAGCCCACCTGCTGTTAAGTGGTTACCGGAGCCCATAGGCATCTACAACGTAAATGCGCCACCCACCTTGAGATATAAGTTCTAAGATCTTAATATAGTTACAACGGCTACCCCACCCTTCAAGCCGAAACGAATTACTGCTTCACGGCAGAAATAGGCGGTGCGGTGGTACCTACCCGTGCGGTCTAACAAGAGGTCCTACCACCAGTAGACATAATATAACATAAGTAATGGAAAATTTTAGCATAACCAATTTACTTGACAGGTCGATGTATTCATATCGAGTTATGAAGCTATATTATTATCTGGGCTTAAAACCTGATAGCAGACATCAGTTTTTCTAAGCAACCAATATCCGTATCTCCCATGTGGTGTTCACAGATAGTCTTATATGTTTAACACGTATAATTAGTAAATTTTCGTAATTAGTAACTGGTGGTAGGATGCATTGTGCACTGAATGGGAAAGTACTATCATCTTCCATGTTTCTACCCTGATTCATTTATGCAAAACGGTTTCAAGTGTGAGAAAACTGTTTTACTGTACGATTCGAGGCATCGACTTCATATTTTAAGGTGTTGCCGTACTATAATTTCTGTCTGCTCCTTGAGCTTACAGATAATAGATAGATAGATAGATAAGTAGATCATATATATTTTATATTAATAAAGAGAATTATCAAGTCAGCTAACCGCTAATTAGCAGCTATCATCGTTTACGGGCAACAGCGAGACAGACAATGAAGGATATCATCTCATAGCCTTCGAGATTGATGACAAAGAAATTTCTTGATCTATCTGTATTACTTACCTATACGTAATATTAAAATAGGAAATGTTTACACTGTAAATATGTCTATGGGAAGTAAGCTTTATTAGAAATGTATGCACTATCTACATATTAACGCTGGACGACGGCCAACGATGGGATAGAATAGGCAGATATCCAGCGCTTCCTAGTACACTGACAGCATTACCTCTATGTTGACGGAATACCTAGTGCCTTACTAGCTCTGGAATTCATCGCATCAGCACTCGGCATTCGCATCACTGAACTATTCCAAGAAATCGCATATCTCGGAGCCAATGACCTAACTAACACATTCAGTAAAGTGCGATCACATCTAATTCATAGTCCACACGGAAAATAAGATCGTTTCGTGTTACCACAACAAATACTCGGACGAACAAACACCTAGTACATTATTAGGTGTCTTCTATACCCAGTATTGAGTTGTAGGTTGGCGTTAAATTTTCGGAATATAAATGTGTTAGCTGTCCGATACCTGGTTAATATTCATGACCGTTGATAACCGAACATCAGAGATGTATAACGAAGAAGGAAGCGACGCAGCACAGCTGGCACGGCACGTGCGGAACATAAAAACGCGAAATGACCACAAGCCAATGACTGCTAATTCCATTTGTTCTGCGCCCTTGCTCTTATGACATGTTTAAAGCTATACACACCAAGTACGCATGTCTTTGAGTAGAAACATTTGGGCTGTAGGTTTTTTTGTGTGGTAGCCGTCGGGGCAGCGACTCGGATGTTGTGCTAATTCCGCACGCTTGCTTTGAATCACTAATCAACGACAGTTAGTGTGATACCCGATCAGTATTCCAGTAGCACCTGCTTGATGTGTGCTCGCAAATTGCTAAAAACACAAGACGGGTGCCCTTGTCTATCATGGTCGACATAGCTATACTTGAATCACATTAAACCGTGTTAATTTCATGACGTTATTTCCTGCAATGCGTTTTAGTGCGAACTTAAATTTTCCGGTGAACTTTAGTGTGTAGTATAATTACATCTGTACGTACTTCGTATTTATAGATTTCTTGGATTATTACAGATAAAAAAGTTTTTGAAATTATAGATCATAATAAGTATTGAAACTTTTAATTTTAAAATAAAATAATTTAATAACATTCATTTTGTCATCAATTGATTCAGATAACAGTATAAACTTAAACATTCTATTACGATAATAAACTAAACTGAAAATATTACAATAATGAAATACAATAACGAAATGACAATAATAAATGCGAGATTAAAATATTTAAGCATTTTTAATGATGTCGACGACTACCTTAAATGTACTGAGATTGTTCTTTGAAAATAAATATTATTTCATGCCACGTAATTACGTATGCTAAAAATATGACCTTGATAGCTTTGCAAAAAAAAAATTGTCTTATTGGTCGTGGAAATCATTAAATTACACAAACTATCTTTCGTATCTATAAGAAAGCTCAGCAAAATATCTTATCATAAGCTTTATAGTTTTCTTTTGTCTCTAGATGGTTAGACCGAACTCACGGGTCACCTTACTTTAAATGGTTACAGGAGCCTATAGATATCACAATGTTGTTACCTCCCTTCATCTAGATACCATAAAGTCGAAGTATTAATTGCTGTACTATACATATGTAAAATCTGTCTCCCTAAGCACTAGCTCAATTGTCCACTTATATTAATGTTGTGACAATAATAATAAAACGTTCCGCACAATATACACACTCTGTAAAATCTTATCTTAGAACTTCTCAGAAAGGTACATTTATAAATAACAATACACAACGCTACAATAAATACATACTATTTTTAACTGACTACAATGAACCTATAACAGTAATATAAAATTAAATGTATTATACTCGTATGTATATAATTATATTGGAAGACCCTTGTTATTATCGCATTCAATTAAATTTATTTTGGCAGTTTGCGTAACTCTTTTCCCTTAATTTTTATTTATTCATAACAAATACGTTGTTAGGTTCTATATATTTTTAGTTATTTTTCAATCATTGTTTGAGCTCGTTATTTAATATAGTATTATGCATAATATGTAATTTTTTCGTCAACAAAACTGATTTCCTAAATTGTCCTATATTGACACGACAACCAGAAGCGTTGGTCGGTATAAAGCCATTTTTCTGCATAGTCAACGCTCAATTAAAGACAGCTCAACATTGTATTGTAGCTAGTCCGGAAATGTCAATGAAACCTCGTTGAAAGGCGTCGATATCCGAATTATTCCTCAGGGTTTCAGCCAAAGCCTTCTCTTGCGCCAAAGGATGCCAGGCCCCGAATGTACACGCGACGTCATCGCGATGTGCATAGTAATGACACCGGCGACTCGCACGTGTTGACGGTACATATTCGAAAACGCGAACTCTGCGACAACGATTCAGGGAAAACCACAAACCTGAAATTACACAAATGTGGAGCAATCACCGATAAGCTTTATCCGTTTATAGCGACCAATTAATTATTTTTGTGTAAATTGAGATTATCGTAGATGAGCAAATGAGGAGAAAAAATGAAACACGAACACACACTAATTTGATTAAATTAACTTCAACAAATATGTTGACTCTGATATTAATTTTGCTTTTAAGTCTACCAAATTTAGTTCTAACTAGTGATTCTCTTTAATATTTTCAGGAAGCTCACCAATAAAACCTGAAGATGGTGGATTTCTTCGTAAGCGATAAGGCGATACGTTTTGAAGGACCGACCATAGGGACCATAATACCTGCGGATTTAATAAATGCGCATCCGCATTTGGCGTCTCCTCAAGAAATCTGCAAAATTATGAATTAAAATCATATTATTAATATCATATTTCATAGATAAAAAAGTATGTTTTGTAAATGTAGCCGCAGCTTAAAAATACGAGTAAACATTTTTGTTCGTCACATTTGATTATTGTACCGTTTTTTTTTTTAAACAAATCTAATATTGTTAAAAAAAAAACCGAAGAAAAATGGTAACGACGATATTAAAATAATATACTTTACTTTTTATAAACAGGAAACAACGGGAAGTCAGGATGATTATACCACTCTTCTAGCGTAGACGAATAGTTCGCCGGATCCCAGATCATTATGGAAACGCCTTTATATAATGGATCTTCTAGAAATTTATATTCAGGTTTCGATACAACCTGGAATTTAACGTATTCATACATTAACGTATAACTTAGTTGTTTTATTACCTTACGCCGGCTGATCAGTAACTCGTTGCACCCCTGCTATTTAACAGTGGATCTTTGTTTAACAGACTCCCTATCAAACTAATTCGTTATTAATTTTCAAACGCATTTATCTGATATGCAACTTTTAATTGACAGAAAAAAAATGTGTCCTATGCAATATGTTAAACATTTATTCACCGTATGCAGGAATTGTAATTCTGAATTCCCCCGTTCGTCAGAGCATGAGTTTCATGCACGGAACGAGTACGATGCTACACACCCGTTGAGTTTCCCCGGTCATCGTTCTCGTCGAACCCGTCGCTTGCGAAGGGCTCGGCGAGTAAATTAACCCACAGACACAGCTCACTGAGTTTCTCGCCGGATCTTCTCAGTGGGTCGCGTTTCCGATCCGATGGTAGATTCTGCGAAGCACGGCTCTTGCTAGGGTTCGTGCTAGCAACATCTACAGGTTTGAACCCCGTGAGCTCACCTACTAGCCCGGCGACGCTGACATGGTCTCTCTAGACCATCAGCTTAGGTAGGAAGAAAAAAAAAAGAAAAAGTTGAGTTTCTCGTTGAATTTTCTTTTCGGGTTGCGATTGCAATCCTGTCCCAGAGGCACTAGTGTAGCAGTTGTCCTTAAGCTGTTATGCCTTCTTCGCAAAGGCTCGGGCATTTGTTAAGATACTCCAAACCTCCTGGCTAAGCCCGAGCTTACCCATTCTTGTGAAACTGGTTAGACCTGCATGCCATCAGCAATTCCTCCAACCAAAAAAATTCTATCGCACATTTGTATGAATAATTGTTCAACATATGGCATACTCTCACGTTACTGTGACCATTCGTCTCATATTGTGTGAATTAATGATCCATCGGTACCCTAAGTCGGTACCCTAACATAACATACGGTCTCTAGGCTTCAAGAACTAGAATTGGAAATGTTGCGTTGTCCATCGTACTCACCAGACCATGCGCCGACAGGCTTTTCGTTTTTCTAAAGCTTGAACAACCTTTATGCGGGGTTTTTTTTGTAAATACTCCTATTAGCTAGCCAGAAGTATAATAACTTTTTTATTTTTCATTTTATTTAGTTACATACGATTTTACGATTATAAATATACATCAGTGCTAGAAGACCGTAGACGTATCTATTTAACTTAAACTTTAATTAAAAGACATATCTATTTAAGATTAAAAGTCTTATACCTTACTTTGATTACTTATTTAAAATTATTTACCTGAGAATTTAAGATACGGAATGTTGTCTTTGATCCGACGTCGTCTGTATAATTATCAGTCGGAGCATTGTTAAATCTTAACACCATATCATGTGAATCTGCAAATGTAATTTTTTTTATTGCTCAGTTACGTGGATGAGTTCACGGCCCACGTGGTGTTACGTGGTTACCGGAGCTCATAGAAATCAAGGCCCTCTGCCGTCTGCCAAGAACGTGTTATGAGCTTCTTCGGACACATCATGCGGTCTCCCGGACATGAATTAGAGAACTTCATAATTTTGGGTCGCATAGAAGGCAGGCATGCCGTGGGAAGAACATCAACCAATGGTCAGATCTGGTTAAGAAAGCAGTTGGTGATATAGTCTATACCATGCGGTCCATGCTACCCATGACCGAACACTATGGAGGAAAGTCACATGTGTTTCCAAACCTCAGCAGTGATGAAGAAGAGATAGATATCAACAATGTCAATGCTGCCACCCACAGTGTGACATGAGCTCTAAGTGTAAGGTGTACAGTACAACGACTGCCCCACCCTCCAAACAGAAACGCATTACTGCTTGACGGCAGAAATAGGCAAGACGGTGATACCTACCCGTATGGGCTCACAAGACGCCCTACAACCAGTAAAATTTAAATGTTATTATTATTACACAAGTACATGAAAGTCGTAGTATACCGTTAGACCGGGCAGTGGACCTCGAGGGAGGCCTATATCGAGCAGTGGTCGTCTTTAGGCTGATAGTGATAGGACATTCAAGATACCCGGTCAAGGGGGGGGTAACGGACCGGGTTATGTCGGACTCCGGCGCCTCCCGAGAGGAAGAGGGAGATGAGGAGGGCCAAGGTCCTCCACCTCCCCGAATTCCTCGCAGGAGACTACACCTTGAAAAAGGCGCGGGAGGCGCTGGTCCCTCAAAATCAACTACCGACTAAACCCCATCGAGCTCCACCACACCGACTACACCAGAATCAGACCTACGGCACCGCAGTGCGCGCCGAAAAGTAGATTTGAAGGCTACGAATACACGCATTCAGTTGACTAGAGAAATCAGATTTGTTTTACCGTTTTAAATTATTGAGAGTGAATTAAAAAATATTACATACAGGCTACAATCATCCATCTGCATGTTTATATTGTACATTACTAATGCAGCAATGATTTATTATCCTTAATAAAATAATAGAAATTAAGTTTAATTTCCGATTCTGAGTAAGCAGAATATATTTTATAAATATAAAATATGAATAAACTGGGAAAATACTGTAGAATTTATAAATAGTTGTTTTTAGACGAGTAATATTTTATGAAACCAATTTACGTTATTTCATTGTAATTTGATGAAACAGTTTAAGTGTACGCATCAACGAGGGTAGGTATAGCAAAACGTTTAAGGATAAATGCTGTTTTACAAAAATAAAACAAAAACTTTTACGGTGAAGGAGTAACATCGTGTAATAAAAATCAAACCCGCAAAATTATAATTTGCGTAATTACTGGTGGTAGGACCTCTTGTGAGTCCGCACGGGTAGGTACCACCGCCCCGCCTATTTCTGCCGTGAAGCTTAGAACTATATCTCAAGGTGTGTGGCGCATTTACGTTTATGGGCTCCAGTAACCACTTAAAACCAGGTGGGCTGTGAGCTCGTCCACACATCTAAGCAATAAAAAAAAAATTAAAAAAAACTCACAAGAGGTCCTACCACCACCGATTACGCAAATTATAATTTCGCGGGTTTGATTTTTAAAACACGATGTTATTCCTTCACCGTGGACGTCAATCGTGAACGTTAGTTAAGTACGTATTTCATTAGAAAAATTGGTACCCGCCTGCAGGATTCGAACACCGGTGCATCGCTACATACGAATGCACCGGACGTCTTATCCTTATTTTTATAAAATTAACCATTATTTATTTTTCCCTGTCTATTAGCTGGCGGCCTAAGGAGCTATTCCAGCTACGCGCAGACGCGATTATCTATTAAAGACAGCAAGTGGCTATCTGAACAGAATTTGTCTAGAGAAATATGTATGTCTTTAATGGTGTATTTAGATGAATAGTATTGTTATAGTGATTTTAAAACTTTTAATTGCTATATATACCGATATGCACCGAATGCACACCGTGGTTGACCTTGAAACATAAGATTGAAACCTCAATTGCATTATTATACTTATTTTACTTTTCAAACAAGAACCCACGTTTATTTTGCGATAGAAATTGGCAAGATAATCTATAGGCTAGTTATTAGGATCATCTGGTTCCATTCTGGCTATCTTTTCGGTGCACGTAACCTTGACACGAGCTAAATAACGTAATGATTAGGCTTATCGTTTGAAATTATTATTCATGCCAAAGTAAAATGATAAATATTTATAAAACTTGTTTCTGTGCAATGATTCGCGGACACTAAATATTTATGTCTTATTACGAAATCTCTCAACTATTTCTCATATAAAAAGACATTTCATCGTTCATCGTTTGTTTTATGAGAAATTACTCCTTCGTTTCATTGCCAACTTTTGAAAAACGTGACCCAATTTTAGAGACACCCAGGATATTGAATTGTTTGTCATCATAACTAAATCAAAGATGTCGATTATCCTCGTCTACCTCCTTCTAATAATAATTCAAGGCGAAACATGAAATCTATTTTTGTTTTTCTTTAAAGCACTAGATTTTACGACCTTCCTATGATCGGTAATCATCGCTTATGGATGTTGGCAATGCCAACTCATACCAAGCCATCATCTACCGCAACTAAGAAACCTAACTAAAAAGCTTCGAAGAAGAATTTAATGGCAGGCAACGGTACCTACATTTTGTTGTTTATAGACTCCATGTATGCATGCCATGTGCCATGTAATCAACTGAAAAAGGCCGGGATTACCGCAAAACATCTCATATCGAAACAGAAATTGAGAAACTCACCCCCGATTACTCTCTTTAGACAACCCATACCCTGGGCCAGGAAGGTCAAGTACCTGGGCGTTATCCTGGATGCATCGATGACATTCCGCCCGCATATAAAATCAGTCCGTGACCGTGCCGCGTTTATTCTCGGTAGACTCTACCCCATGATCTGTAAGCGGAGTAAAATGTCCCTTCGGAACAAGGTGACACTTTACAAAACTTGCATAAGGCCCGTCATGACTTACGCGAGTGTGGTGTTCGCTCACGCGGCCCGCACACACATAGACACCCTTCAATCTCTACAATCCCGCTTTTGCAGGTTAGCCGTCGGAGCTCCGTGGTTCGTGAGGAACGTTGACCTACACGACGACCTGGGCCTCGAATCTATACAGAAATACATGAAGTCAGCGTCGGAACGGTACTTCGATAAGGCTATGCGTCATGATAATCGCCTTATCGTAGCCGCCGCTGACTACTCCCCGAATCCTGATCATGCAGGAGCCAGTCACCGTCGACGCCCTAGACACGTCCTTACGGATCCATCAGATCCAATAACCTTTGCACTAGACGCCTTCAGCTCTAGGAGCAGGCTTAGGGACCTCGGTAACCGTACTCGTCGAACTCGACAAAGAGTTCGCCGTGCAACCTAACCCATGAATCAGCTCGCTGAGTTTCTCGCCGGATCTTCTCAGCGGGTCGCGATTCCGATCCGGTAGTAGATTCATTCGCGAAGCAGCTACTCTTGAGCTGTTAGGTCTCCTTCGGAGGCGCTCGGGTAGCTGTTAGCAAATCCCACCCCTCCTGGCTGAGCCTTTGCTCGCCCACCTGTCCTGGTGAAACGGAAAAGGCCTCCGGGCCACCAGTAATCTTTCAATCATAAAAAAAAAAGAAATTGAGAAATCTTTGTTACCAAAGCAAAAAGATCAGACCGATCCTAAATGAAATATCAATCGTATTCATTTTTATTTAAGACGTAATCAAGATACTTTTTTCGAAATACTGTTTTTTATATTTCACACGATTTCCTGAGTTCCTGATTTCGACGTTCGCAACAGCATAAAAGTGCTGACAATATACATATATGTATATATGCATATTGTCGGACGAATCATCGAGTTCTAACACCAAAAAACGGGTTAGACAGATTAGTCTGCTCCTAAAATCCATCGCGCAGTATTCGATCTAGCAATAAAGCCAAAGCAGTAAGAACTTATACTCGTAAACTATCAAAATAGCGGAAAGAACCCTATAAATTATAGTGTTTGTCGTGTAGATGGCTGAGAAAGCTTAAAACAATTCGGGTCGCGATTCCGATCCGGTAGTAGATTCATTCGCGAAGCAGTTGCTCTTGAGTTGTTAGGTCTCCTTCGGAGGCGCTCGGGCAGTTGTTAGCAAATCCCACCCCTTCTGGCTGAGCCAGCTTTGCTCGCCCACCTGTCCTAGTGAAACTGGAAAGGCCTCCGGGCCACAAGTATGTAATTCTTCAATCATAAAAAAAAACAATTCGTAGCTACAGCTATACTAGCCTTTGAGTAGGTGTATTTCTAAACTATTTAAAGACCACTTAATATTATAAATGCATCATTTGTACGCTAGTCGTCATTACACATTATTATGTGTAAAATGACAATAATGAAGAGATAAGCTTCCGTGAGGCTGTTGAATCATACAAGAAAGCGGAACAATAGACATAAACATTACAATTACTTATAAAACTTGATAATTTCATAATCCTCCTTCTAGCTTGATCAAAACAGTACCTAGGTACTGTAGTAAAATACATCAGGTGCTCTTACTGAAATGAATTTGTGCTTACAGGCATTTGGCTATTTCGGCTTATATTCCTGGTAGCACCACCATATAGCACCACCCCATCTTTCCCATTATTGTCGTAACTAAAATATTCACCAGAGAATGTATGCAGCAGCGTTCTCTGAATAACGGATCACGATCCATAAATTCTATATATTCTAACTAGCTTTTGCCCGTGACTTCGTCAGCGTGAAATAGTTACTTTGGCATAATGCTAAATTTTACTTGCCTCTTTATTTAAGTAGAAAGTGAAAATATGTGAAAATATTGGTCTTAGCCTGATGTTATATAGCCTATAGCCTTCCTCAATAAATGAACTATCATCTGACCCTGCAAGAATTTTTCAAATTGGACCAGTAGTAGTTCCTGACTTTAGTGCGTTCAAACAAACAAACATACAAACAAACAAACTCTTCTCCTTTATAATATTAGTATATATAACTACCGAGAAATGCATAATAAACATTTATCCAAGTATTCCATGCTGAATCTTAAGTCCTATCAGCACTTGTTGGTTGTTATTCTCCTGAATCATAAATTAACAACTTGTTTATAGTATATACTCGTTTTATCTTTCAATCACAAATATACAATAACAATACAAAGGACAAACGTACAATACGCGTACTGTACAAATGTCACTTGTATATTGTAATTTTTACTCCTTTATTACGATGGATTCCACGAATATATGCATCTTATAATATATGCAACAGCTAATGAATACGTTTTCCCAAAATAAAAAATTAAATAATTTTTTGTATATTTTTTATATCTGTTTTATTTGTTGCTTAGATTGGTGGACTATCTCACGACCTACCTAGTGTCAAATGGTTACCGGAAACCATAGACTCAGAGAACAATAACGTAAATGCCGCCCTCCCACCTCGCGAAATGAGTTTTAAGTCTCAGTTCTGTAGTAGGCTGTCCTATCCATCAAACCAAAATGCAATACTGCTTCACGGTAGCAAATAGTCAGGATGCTGATACCTGCCGGTTTGGGCTCACACGACGTTCTACCACTAGTAAAACTGTTATAACTTTTTTGCGCTATTGTTTCACTCACACAACGAACACTATAATTACTAATTCGCCGATTCAACTATCGATGCAAATACATAGGTAAATCTCGACTGAGGCATAAAACTATAAATCTGTTATTGTAACTTTTTAATTAAACATCAATCATATTATGTGTAGTATAAATTTACTTTAAATATTTGATTAATCTTTTTTTAATGACATCAATGACTTACAATCTTGCGCTTAGGGCCCATCTGAGCCTAAATAATTATCGTTCACAACCCTTGTGACATTATCATAGGGTACGGGCACGCTGCTGTAGTCTATTTCGTTAAGGACCCGTTTTCGAATCTCGATCCGAAGCAAATTCATTCCGAAACAAGTGGCAAACAAAATGCAGTACAGCATATCACTTACGATGTTCCGAGAACACGAACTCTGCTCCGTTGGTTTTATTATAAAATCGAGATGAAATGACAATCACAAACAATTTTTCTAATCACTAGAAACTGCGCTAGATTCTTTACGAGCAATTATCGTGTTCGTCATTATAATTGTGTGATAATAACTTGACAAATGAGATTAACACCGGCCTATTTCGTAATATTCCGTACTTCTCTGCAAACAATAGGGTTAGTAGAGCCTTTTAAAACCTATAATTGAGCGCAGTGCACTGTATGCGTCGAATTTTAAACATTTAATTTTACAAACCATTTTTTATTTATTGCGTAGATAGGTGGACGAGCTCACAGCCCACCTGGTGTTACGTGGTTACCGGAGCCCATAGACATCTATAACGTAAATGCGCCACCCACCTTGAGATATAAGTTCGAAGGTCTCAAGTACAGTTACAACGGCTGCCCCACCCTTCAAACCGAAACGCATTACTGCTTCACATCAGAAATAGGCGGAGCGGTGGTACCTAGCCGTGCGGACTCACAAGAGGTCCTACCACCAATAAAAAATTATCATTGAACAGCAATAAGCAGTATTTTTTACTCATTTTAAATTATACTTCATTATTTCTTTATGTGCGTCCATATTTTTTTCCGCGATTGCGATTTCATAGCGATTGCGAGGAAAAAACGTGATAAGTTTAATCAAGAACATCCTTACATGCGTACCTTATGTCGGAAGTGTGTGTCACTGTCTGTTCCAAGTCTCAGTTAAAAGGGGTATCGCCGTTTTTAAGTAAAGACAAAGCCTGTCCTGCGGTTACACAGTGAGTAACGCAAAGCTATAAAATAAAACGACTCAAAAAGTGACTCAGTACTTGGAATAGTCTTTCTCCGTATTTTTGTTATTACGAAAAGAAAAATGCAATACAAAAAGTTACATTTTTTATATTTCTTAATTGTGTTTGAGAGACGTTAAATCAAATTATATTTCTAGATATACCTGCATAGTTTTACTACAAATGCCGTTGCTCCCGCATCTTTAAAGGTTTTTGTTTAACTACACTATTTCTAGAACATACGTTGGTGTTTTCTATTAACATCTTTGGTAAAAGATCCTCAATCAGTTTTGATATTTGTATCATTATATAAACACAAAAAAAGGATGTTATTTATTGTAATTCTTATGTGGGTGGACCAGCAATTTTAGCATTGTACTGGGCGATGTATGTACAAAGTCAGAAAGTTTTCCTACTATGAATCAAATTTTCGATACTCCATAGACTGAGTAATTAGTAAATCCCCATGTAGGACAATAAAAATTCGTGTAATTCGCATATGATTTGGGCCGTTCGTCGAAGGAGGCCGACCATGAATATCAATACTGTGTTCCACAAAGAAAAGATCCGAATCCGATAACGCTACAATAGGTACACGGTCGATCACCCGCTTCTAATAAAATGCACCAAGTCTAAATACGCTTGCAAGAATGTATACATACCTATTTGACTGTCATTAGTTTTATTTTTTATTTTTATTAACACTAAATTTATTGGTTTAGTTTTTTGGGAGTTTATTTATACTTGAGGTAAAAGTACAGTGACACTGACTTTAAATAATATGGCTAATGTCTAAATCTAAATGCCTTGTTTAAATTCATAAGCTTCTTGCTATTCTTAGACTCTAATTATTAATAAGTTTTAATAATATTAAAACGCTCGGTACGAAGAAATTTGTACTCTATACTTATTTACTTAGCTATAAATAGCGGGTAAGTATAAGTAAGTAAATACACGAGAAACGATCGTTTCAATCCTAAATTTTCGTCTATCCAAATCATTGACTATAATCGAATAGTATCGGGAAAGTACTAGATTTTTTTTTCGATAGTTTATTAGCGAAACCAGCGATATAATAGTGCAAATTACGTACAGTTTGTTGCCCCCGAACATAAATATTTCATTACCAAAATCACATTTGGGACGTAACTGTAAACATGCTAGTAAACTGATGTAGGTAGTTAGGCAAGTACAGAATTCGTGGACACTCATATACCACGCCAGCTCATGCGCAGTGAGTGATTCATTCGCGCACATGCACTACGCCAAGCGTAGAAAAAAAAATCGTGAATATTTTATATATATTTTTGTCATCGAACTTCTGACCTACGATAAGTGTTTCTCGTGGTTCATGAATACCACATTTAACCGAACCAACTGTAATAATATTTTATTGTATTATAATGAACCATTGCCAAATAATAATTAATGATGCAGCGTTTTCTTCGGTTTTTGCGGACCTTTGTAGATACGGGCTAGACGTTAATGCTTAATCACCCGTTTATTTTTATTTTATTAATGCCGATATTTCAAATATCGAAAACCGTTTTAAGGTGATGCTCAGTTCTATACATATGTTATTTGATTTTATAAATTTATTTATACCTAAATAATTTCTTATTTGCAATTTAACAACACAGCAGTTTCTTGGCATTGCATTAGCTTTAAATGAATAATTATTGTGTTTGAAGGTTAAGATAATCTCTCAAATTAAATTTTCTAATTGTTGCATTAATGATTCAATGTCGTCCGTAAAATACGAAAACTTAAAAATATAAAAAACGTCGGAAATGATAAAATAAAAATAATTGACACGAGGCTGTAAAAGTAGTTTTAATTGTGTGTGTGTGTGTGTGTGTGTGTGTGTGTGTGTGTGTGTGTGTGTGTGTGTGAGTGTGTGTGTGTTTTTTTTTAACCTACGAGGAAATGTTCATACATTTAGCGCTATAGTGAAGCGCGACCGGGTTCCACTAATTATTTAAAAAAAGACATATTGATTTGTGGAGCGTTTAACTAACTTCTAAGTTTATATAAAGACTTGCTTAATTTTTTTAAATTTGCAATAAACCTTTCCGACTTGGATTGTTAAGATGGTATAGAAAGTAACTGAAACTCCAATTGAATAAATAACACAAATCGACATACTACAAACACTTTTACGATATTGAAACTCCGTGGCAAGTGTTGCATACCTATGAAATCACCCAATCTTGATCCAAGCAGAGCTCCTGCACTGCTGACGACAGCGCAAGTATTATAAAATGTACCGTCTTGAAGGGGACCCTCAGGAATTTGAAAATCGTAGCGTGCAAAAGGTTCATCTCTCTTGGTCACCGTATTCACTTTTATGCGCTTTAACGCACACATCACGTCGTGTTTTGATAACGCATTCTTGGGGCCACTTTTGTATTTTACATCGTAAGTATTGTGCATATCCAAACCCGATCGAAATACTTTACTCTCTCCCATTAAAACTCTATGAAATTCTTTTAATAACAATTCTTTAAATTCTCTTGTACGAGTTTCGCATTCTATAGAAGTGAAATCATCGCATATGTATTTATCTGTGTCAAATTCTAACAAAGGTTTGTGGATGTTCGGAAATCTAGGGCTCCTTTGGCTTTTTCTTACGATGTTAATCGACGTTTGAGATGAAGACAATTTGCTGGCAGATTGAAGTACGCCACTGCTCCACACTGCCCCGACAGCTGACCTTCGTTTTTTACGAGCAGAATCGTTGTAAATTGTTGAGTTAGTGAGTGATTTTGAAAATTGATTTTCAGGAAACGCAGCTATAAAGCTTAACACTGATGCTCTAACTTTAGGTTCGTTGCTCGGTGTTTTAGTAAACAACCGCTGCTTCTCAATGTACATCCAGTACTGCGACCAAATGAGATACAAATATCCGCACATTCCAAAGCAAAGGAGATTTATGAAAACCCACACCGACATCGCTGCGGCTTTCATTTTTATTCAAAGTACGTAAAATGCTACGACTCGAACAACAATTGCCAATTTTATTGCACACTTCACACACAATCACTTCATTGAATTTATGTATGAGAAAAAAACGAATACATTTAACTAAATCGCGACAAATATGTTTTCCGAAATTCCGAGATGCTACTAAAATTAAGCCTATAAAGTACAGAACTCTTATTTTATTCTTTGGAGTTGAATTAGATCAGCTGACGTAAGGCTTTGTGTGCGCCTGCGTAAACGTTTAGCAGCAATAGAACGATTTTGTTTTTGACTTCACTACTTCGAGAATGTCTTGTTTTTTATGTTTGAAAAAAACGAAATTAGCCCGTATTAGCGACAATCGCAACAAACCTACTGCAGAAAAGTTAAGTTGTTTTTTAAAGGATTTTCGTTTGCCCATAATCTTAATATAATATTATTATTCCCAAAAAGAGAAATCGAAAAACGCACATTTTATTAGTACGGATAAAATAGTATCTGATAGAAAAACAATGCACAATTAAGACAATGCACTTTGAGATTTTAAACTATGAAATTTTAGAGATTTCTCTCCAAAAGAACTCTAAAGAGTATAGAGGATTCTTTTTCTGCCTACATGAGTGATGTAGCTCGCGGTCCAGCTGGTGTTAAATGGGTACTGGAGATAAATGTGAAAATTAACTAATGATCTATTTTAATAAATCTGTATATATAATAATGTACTGGCGTTTTAGGAAATTTATATGTATATTTATATTTATTCTAACATATGCGTTCACACTCGTTGAAATTTTCATTGTAGACTCGGTGTTATTGAACCAATGGGAGTAGGCACCACCATCCTATCTATTTATACCACGAAGCGTTCATGTATTTATGTACGAAGTATGGACAGACTTTCGTTATTGAATATAATGAAAATTTCGATCTTATGTCGCAAAAATGGATTTGTTCCGCTGACCTCACAACACCAGGTGGCTCTTAAGTCTCGCGACGATATCTCATCGCGGTGCTGGGACGGGACCTCTTCTCCCTTCCGCATCTTCAAGGCTATCAGCTTAGGTAGGGAAAAAAAACGCGTCTTAGAGGACCAGAGGTCGTGGGAGGCCATGGCCAGGTTTTGCGACCTGGTCATGACGTTTCGTGAGGCTGAGGAACGCGAAAGAGAATGGGAGCCCTCTTCTGCTCCTCAGCGAAACAGGCGGAGTGGACGGCCGTCGGGTACCGGGTACGGAGGCGTCCGGTGCTCGGCTGTCGGCCTGCAGGATCTTCCCGGGGGCGAAATCCCGTCCTATTATCAGGACGGGTACCGGCGAAGGCGGACTTTCGTCTTAGTGTTACGTACGTTTCATGAAGTTTCAAACCCCAGCAGACAGACCGTACTATTTTGTACTATAGAGCCTATGTTCAAGAGCGTGATATACATGTCAACGCACGCTTAACGGAAAAAGTCTCAATTTCAACTAAGATTTATCTGAAAACGTTTCAACAATTGAAAGGCAGTGGTTCGTTTATTAATATTTAATGTAAAGAAATTAAGTATTATATTAACAGGAGTGAGCACGAACACAACTTTTCATGTAGAAGTATGTAATGTTTTTCGTCGTCTATGATGCATCCATTTCTAGAGTTTTTCATTTACTATCCACCGACCGAGCAATTGAACAGTGCAACTGAACAAATCGTGAGTATCGAGAAAATCTTTGGCATGTCCTCATCCTAATCAGTTAAGAAAATAAAATAATGGTTCTTGATGCCTTGTTCATTTTGGTAGAAATTCAACAAAATTGTTATTGTATTAATTTATACTGCTTTATTATATCACTAGCGACCCGCCCTCGCTTCGCTTCGGAAACATTAAAACACACATGAAACCAAAAAAAGAAAATTTAAAAAAATTTAAAAAAAGTAGCCTATGTTCATCAGGGACAATGTCGGCTTCTAATGGAAAAAGAATTTTTCAAATCGGTCCAGTAGTTTCGAAGCCTATTCGAAACAAACAAACAAACAAATCTTTCCTCTTTATAATATTAGTATAGACGTGTCTCCTGTCACAGATACACAAAACCCATTAAAATGCTTATGACAATTTAGCTCATTCATCCGCTATCCATTATAAGTTTAGAGACACAACATAATCCGAATGGGTTGACTTCACCAGAAACCTGAGTGAAATAGGGAAGGGAGCTCATAATGCGATCTGAGCTATCGCGCTCAGCGAATATCGTCGTTCCATCTTCTATATGACATAGATTCGGTCACTTCGCGTCTTGTCAATAACGTAGAGTAATAAAGAAGAGGTATTACAGAGTAGACCACTATTATCACGCCGTACACCGGTTTGTGAAGTAACCTGTGAACACATGTTTTTTTAATTTTTATTGTATTATCGGTATCAAATTTTTTGTACAGGCAAGACAAAGATGATTTGTCGTTTACACTAATATATTTAATCGAGATCATTTAAGCAAGCAAATTTTTAACTGTAATTTAATTATAAGTCGCGATAAAGTACCAGAGGACGTACCAAGGAAATGATATGATGAAACAAGAGTATGAAAACGATAAGACCAAGTTGACCCAAGCCCTTGTGCATCTTCTGAGATTATGTGATATCCATGAAAACTGTAAAACTGCAACAAAAAAATATTTACTATCGATTACTCTTTTTCCTAAGCTGGTTAAATAGCAAGCAATAATTATACTATAAAAAGTATTTTATTAAAATGACTCTTCAACTTTCTTATTATTTAAGCATATTAAAAAATAACTATTTAAAACTTACATAGTGTAATCCAGTCAGGATGTAAAGTCATTGCAGAAGCAAAAACTTGAATGAAACCAAGCAGTCTATATTTCCAAGTATGTACATTTGCATCTTTCCTCTCTAACTCATGCAGATGTTGTAAAGTGTAGGAACCCTTTCGAAACAATGAGATTGGGTCTGCTGATGGGAATGATGATGAACTGTATGGTTGGAGCACTCCACTCTCTACAACACCCACTGCTGTGTACTGAAATGACGCAAAACTGTTGTTAGAACAGGTTCTAATGATCATTCAAAAACAGAATTTTAGCCAATCCTTATTTCCTAACGTTCTTTTGCATTTCAGTTCAAAGGGTAGGTTAGACATTCTGCAACTAGGACTTCGCACATATATCACAGAAGGATGTGATGGGAGACCAGCATTTACCAACAGGGGGAAATTTATACTAACCATTTCATTTCATTACTGTAGACTAATGATTATGATTCAATAACATTTTTGCCAGAATAAATTTTACTTTATTACAGATATCCTATATAAACCAGCTACCAATGCACATCTGGTTTAGTGATTGTAGGAATCCATGAACACAACAATGTAAATAGCACCACCCATCTTTATACATGATGTTTAGTCTCAAATATAATGTAATAACTGTCCCACCCAAACAGTCTACCCGAACTGGAACACATAAATACTTTTCAGCAAAATGGGCAGGGTAGTACATACAGGCTTATAATACACCCTGGCACTAGGATACATTTTAAAATAGAATAAAATAAACTTACTATGTCATCTTGTCGTCCAGCATAACTGAAATGAATTCGCAAATCTCCTATTTTGTGTTCCAATGCGCTTTCACCGTGATAGTAAAATCCTGAGTGTAGTTTAATGTCACTCCTATCAGGCCTTGAATCTGACCAAATCTCGTAATAGTCATTTACCTTACGTTTTACATCAGTGCCTACAAAAAGTAAAGCAATTATCTAACAAATAAGTTATAATTATTTGTGCTTTTCATAATTTGCTTGTGCATTTAGTGGACGAATATTTCAAATTTTTAAAATCAGAATAGTCAAATTGACGAATGAACCAAAATTTAGAATAGAATTAGGTATATAAACATGAAATTTAAGGAATGAATGAGATAGCTGTTATTATAATATAAATGGCAGTATATATAAGTACCAAAGCTGGACTGTCCCTTCATCGTGTTACCTGTGAATTTTTTCATAACAACCACATGTAAGCGATTAGATGGGCAAGGTTTATATTAGTACAGTTTGACCCTAGTAAAACTTTCACTTGTCTACCAAAATTAGCTTAGGGACAAGTTTAGAATCTTTGTCTTAACCCTCACACACAGCCCACTGAGTTTCTTGCCAGATCTTCTCAGTGGGTCGCGTTTCCGATCCGGTGGTAGATTTTGCGAAGCACGGCTCTTGCTAGGGTATGTGTTAGCAACGTCGTCAGGTTTGAGCCCTGTAAGCTCACCTACTAGTTAAGGCTACGCCGATATAGCCTCTCAAGGCTCTCAGCTTAGGTAGAAAAAAAAAACTGTCACTAAGGAAGCAATATGGGCTATTACAACAACAAAATATAATTTGTTACCAAGATACAACCAGCCTATTCTGACATTTTCAGCTATATGCGTCTCACTAAACAAAGGCATTGATGTAGGGTTGTGATGACCAGGTCTAATGTAAAACAGGTTTGAATCCACAATGTAATCCCTCCAGTCTTTGTGATACCAATAAGTTTTCTGGTATTCTTCTGCAGGTTCTGACAGAAAATTGTTTTGCTCTCTGAAAAGATCAGATAGAATATTAGTCATTAGCAGACATGTATAGAGTTCAATCTGATCTTAGAATGTTTAGTTGAGAATGGTTCTGCACGCATACAATAATTTAATAAAATTTAAACATATGTAGAGTTTTAGAAATTGTATCTAAACACATAAGGCAAATTGTTTCAATAATATGACAGAGATAGCGTAGAATTAAACTAACCAGAATGTACTTACGTTGTCTCCTCAATCCACTGATACATTTGTACTCTTTTCCTCAATTTGACGGCCTGGACCTGTATGTTGTAGTCAGGCTCAGATATAGGTTCCAGTATTTCAATTGGGCCTATGATATGAAGAATTTGTCCTTCATAATGTTTGGCTTGGTCTTCTGTGTGCACATCTATACTTATAGCTGCTGATATCAGTTCTTCTAACATCAAGTTGCTTTTAATTGTTTGACTCTGCAAATTCATAGAACAGCGAACATTATTTAAATTTTCTATGTAATAATTCCCTAATTCTTATTTAGTGTAAATGAGTCGACTATTATCAAAGCCGGCAATCTGACTTTTGGACAATTATTGGTAAATCAGAAAAACGAATTATTGACTTTGTATTCCATTGGCAGTCACAAAACTCTTCGGAACGACATCTTAGATAAACAACAGGTTAACTATTAACCTTTATTTAATGCAGGTTTTGAACCGTATTCTTTGAAGGAGACGATTATATTCAAATCAATCTGTATTGACATATCAATAACATTTTTTTGTCCAAATGCACAGATTGCCACCTTTGATAATAGACGACTCAAATATGAGCTTTTTTTTTAAATTATACAAAATATCTATAATATGTATATTAGACCGAACTTTTCGTGAACTGATGAATCTCATGTCGTTTTAATGCACACTATTTACCTCAGCCCACAATAAGAAATAAGTAACTCCCATAAATAAAATCAGACTGAGCGAAGTTGTTAACCAGGTTTCTTTAAATTGGTTTTTTACAGCTGTCCACGCCATCTGGGAAACGATTTTACTTCCACATTATAGGTACTACTTAGAATCAACATGGACAAAACTATTTGATAAATCTAACAAATAAAACTAGAAAGTAGTAAAAAGATTGAGCAACCACATTCTGACTGATTCTGAGATTCTGACATTTCTGACTCAAATATTAAGTGTATAATCTATGTTCTAACCATAGATTATACACTTAATAATCTTTTGTATAATATTCTTGAAATGAAATGAACCTAATCAACTTTAATAATAAAATAATTTAATAATCATGTTGTAATCAATTTTTATTTCCATTCCATTCCACTCCATTTTATTTTTGTGGAACCGACATTGCTATTTTTTATTTCAAATTACTTGGTTAAAAAGTCAAGTAACCAATGACCGTTAAAAACACAACTAAACGATCAGCTGAAACTCTAACCTTAAATGTGATGTTTACTAATAAAAATGAACTACTATAAACAAGAAAAAATACAGAAGTTATTACATCTATATGTCCTGCCTATCTCACACATATCACTAGTTTAATGAATTAAAAAAACACAGGCCATGGGGATTTACGTAAGGAATTTATTAAACCTAAGGGGCAGCTCTGTGTTTATTTCAAACTTAAAAAAACTTACGCGAAGATATAGCAATTTTCCATTCTTAGATCTACATCAACAAATTACTGGTATTGTATTTTTGTAATAATATTTTTTATTAACCAACAATACTTTTAAAGTAAATTATTATATTAAAAAAATACTAACCTACGCATTAGATTTTATGCTCCATAAATGTAAAATCAAGATAGTATTTGTGTGTTTTAGTGCAATTAGTGCCTAAAACTTAAATTGACAGAATAAGGCATTGAGTCTACTATGGGAGATCATAGGCTCAATAATAAATAAACTATACTTACTAGGTAAACCTTAATAATCACTTAAAAATTTCAAGAAATACAGCATTATGCAGAGCAAATTTAATTAAATGTACATGCGCACTGGACATTTATTTTTCCTCAAATAGACATACCTACAGTGGCTTAATCATTTTCATTTCTGAATTCCAGGACAAAATTTGAGTAGTAAATGCTTAGAAAAAATAAAAAGACAACATCCAAATATTGATAAGCTAAGACATGATCAATTGAAATACACAATTCAGATTTTAAACAAGTTCAACATCACTCCATTGGAGGCTTGTGAAAATGCTCACATTTTTTGTATGAATTCAATCACCATGGATAATTATGGAGAAATTTTAAGAGAATGTCAATTCATCAAAATTGTAACCAAACACATTATCAAGTAAGTTATTGATTAGTTAAACTTTATTCTAAAAACAAATTGCAAAGAAAAACACAAAAATTGAAGATTTTTATACATAATATTTTATTATTTATATTTTATATTTTATATTTAATATATATAAAATTCAGAAGTGACAATTCAAGATACTACTGTGGAAGAAAATAAATTAGTATTGCTTAACAGGAATAAGAATATACTGTATGCTCTGTTTTTGTCTTTACTCTATTAGATGTTTTATAATAGGTCAATTACATTTAAATTCATATTATCATATGTATGAATATATATATAAAAGGTTTTTTTTAGCACACAACTGATTGATAACAGCCACTACCCGAATATTAAATATTGTAAATACCAATTATTGTTACAGCTTCACCTAACGTTTATCATTATCATTATTATATTTATTCAAATATTGTGTTACAGATATCACACTCTTGTAAGATCCAGGACAATTGCCAAATTAAAAAAGGATGGTTTGATCAAAGCAGATCTAAATCTAGAAAAGGTTTTACAAGACTGTTTTCATGACTGGCCAGAGAGTAATAAAAGATTGCATCATTTTACAGATTCAACCACATCTATTCGTATGTGACTTAATTACAAAACTTTAAGTATTCCTTAATATGAAAGATTATCTTTATCTTTATTTATCACAACATACACTGGATAGCTAATTGTTACTTACTTACTTGATTACTAATGATTACTGTTATAAAGCAGTGGCTTTGTCATCCATAAGATGCAGTCTAGTAAGTTAGGTTGAATTGCGAATATACCTCCCTTCACATTTATTTATTTATTTTTATTGCCTGGGTTGGCGGACGCGCCACACGCCTTGAGATATAAGTTCTAAGATCTCAGTATACTTACAACGGCTGCCCCACCCTTCAGTTTTTTTTTTAGTAGTGTTAGAAGAGAACTTTACGGTAGGCAGTGATGTGGCTGTGCCCTTGGATTATGAGCTTCCATGAATCGATATGGCTATTTCGATCTGGTGGTAGATGCACCCATAAAACAATTGCCCTTGAGCTGTTAGCAAAACTTCCCTCTGCAGTAGGCCCTTGAGTTCACCCGCAATACAGGCGAAACTAGAAAGGTCTTTGAGCCACAAGCAATTTTTCCATCCTAAAATAAACGACAATGACCAATTTTCATCAAAAGTATGCATGCAAAGTATGTTTGCATGCCTGCATGCAGTTCTGCCTACTTAGACAGTTAAGCAAAAATCGAAAAGCTTAAAATTTCAAATCTACATCTTCACGCATAATTTTTGTAAACGACCAATACACATTTCATAGTAACTATTACTGGTCATCGTTCTCATCGAACCCGTCGCTTGCGACAAAGGGCTCGGCGAGTAAATTAATCCATAGACACAGCCCATTGAGTTTCTCGCCGGATCTTCTCAGTGGGTCGCGTTGCCCATCCCGTGGAAGATTCTACGAAGTACTGCTCTTGCTAGGGTCAGTGTTAGCAACTTCGCCAGGTTTGAACCCCGTGAGCTCACCTGCTCGTCCGGTAACGCTGATATAGCTTCTCAAGTCTATCAGCATAGGTAGGAAATAAAAAAAGAAGTAATTATTATTTATTCTGTTACAACACTATGGCATTAATACAAAATAATCTGTTTCAGTACAAGTTCGTATGTGTGTATTGGAAAACTATTTGAAATGGAGATTGTCCATTGAAACTGACGAGTTCCAAAAATACTGTAAACATTACATGTCTTTCAAACATAAACCAATGTCAGACATTCGAGAAGCTTTAGATATTGCACAAAATGTTATCAAGTTCGATACTGAAGTTATCAGACGCAATGGGTTTATTATCTCATCTGATCCGGTTAATACTAAATTGATACTAGAAAATGTCGAATCGTTAGCTGGCTTTGAAATACACGACGCTATAAAAATTGAACCTGCCATCTTAAAAAATAATTATAATGCCTTGTTAGAAATGAAGAGTATTTTAGAAGTAAGTGTTTTATATATATTTTTTCTGTTTTTTATATCTTAGATGGGTGCACGAGCTCACATCCCACCTGGTGTTAAGTGGTTACTGGAGCCCATAGACATCTACAATGTAAATGCCGCCACCCAACTTGAGATATGAGTTCTAAGGTATCAGTATAGTTACAACGGTACCACCAGTATAGTTACAGTGGGTACCACCACCCTGCCTATTTCTGTCGTGAAACAGTAATGCGTTTCGGTTTGAAGGGTGGGGCAACCGTTGTAACTATACTTGAGACCTTAGAACTTATATCTCTAGGTGGGTGTCGCATTTACGTCGTAGATGTCTATGGGCTTTAGTAACCACTTAACAGCAGGTGGGCTGTGAGCTCGTCCACCCATCTAAGCAATAAGCTGAACGATGCGTCTTTAACGATATTTCCCCGTTAAGAAGTAAACAACGAAGCAGACTCGCCGTCTCTTTCGCACGCCCTCATTCTATACCACTGACGTCATAAACCTGAATATTCATCTATTATTATTATTTGTCAAGTCACAGCTCTATAAAAATTTACGATTTACTGACTTACTTATATAATGAATATTATCGTACTGCTAATTTACTTGCAAAAAAGTATACTAAAAAAATAGTAAATATCGACTTGGTGTCCCTATTCAAGCAATATTCACACGCAGGAATACAGAATACCATTGGAGGCTCAAAGACGCTGTTTAAAAATATATTGCATGTGCCCGGAAACAGTACGCGAGAGACTAAAAGAACTAGCCAGTTTAAAAGAATATCAAGTATTATCTACCAATCCTAGAGTAAGTACATTACACGTACTCTATTTAATTTTTACTTATGAAATATGAATAAGTTCCTTAAATATTGAGAACTATGAGACTAATCTCTAAAATGTAACCATAATATAAAGTATAAAGTATGATAAAGTACCTAATATAAATGTTACATAATTAATGTAAAACTTAGTCCATAAATTAAAAACGAAACCAAAACTTTATGGCTATGTGATGTAGGCTTAGAATATTACCACCTCATCTGAGTGTCGTAAAAGATGACTAAGGGATTCACCGACGAATAAATAATAATAATAATAATAATAATAATAATAAATAAGTAATCTAGAACAAATCACATACAGTCACCCGGCTCCAAAATTAGGATTCGCTGTGTTATGGGTAACAGAGACTGACATATACACTTTTAAATATTTAAATATATAGTTAATAAGCACCAAAATAAAAAGCAAACAAATCTGTTCATTACACGAATTTTTGCCCGATCTGGGAATCGAACCCACGATTCTTGGCGCAACATTCAGACGCGCTAAATACTGCACCACCGAGTCAGTGAAATGAATGAATAGACAGAAGCATGAATATTTGCCCGAATTTGAACGAATGCACAGTAAGAAGCATGAGTATTTGCTCACTGAGTTTCTCGCCCGATCTTCCTAAGTGGGTCGCGTTTCCGATCCGATGGTAGATTCTGCGAAGCACTGCTCTTGCTAAGGCCAGTGTTAGCAACACTCCCGGCTTGAGCCCCGTGAGCTCACCTAGTCGCCCGGTTATGTGACATAGCCTCTTAAGGCTATCAGCTTAGTTAGGAAAAGAAAATGAGTATTTTAGCATGGTACTGCGATCGCCATATCGGAATTTACTGTTAGCAAGGCATAAGGTAAAGCCGTACGTTTCACCTACCGTACTACTGGCTTCTGAAGCGAAAGAGTCTTTCGTCTCAATTTGAAGGCCGAAGCAACCATTGTGCAGCACAATTGAGATGTCGACCCTTCAATGTCTCAAGGCAGGTGACGGCATTCACGTTCTGCTGTCATCATTTTACCTATCGTAAGCAAAAAAAAAACAATATAAAAGCAGAATAATATAGGTATTGTAAAATTTGTATGTCTGATGCAGGTATTATCAATGGTCGTTCATAAGAAAAAAATGTTATCACGATTAAGTAAGATACAGGCAGCGAAAAAACAATGTTACAGTCTCAATCATCTCATCTCGTCCAGTAAAGTATTTAACAAGTAAGTTATTTACTTAAGACTGCTTACGTAAGAACCATTCGTAGTATAGTTTTAAATTTTAACAGACTTCAAAATAGGCTGAAGTCCTCACTTTGGTAGTTTTTTTCTTTATGTTTGCTTTGTCTGAACTCCGTGATCAATAAACCGACTTGTAAGATTCTTTGATATGACAAAAAACACTTTTGGATTTATCCGATAAAATTATCAACAAAATCGGTTCTATAGTTTGGTTTTTAAAATCAAAATGTACTAAATGATGTCTAAGTAAAGGAAATTGCAGTTTGATTATTGAAACCGGTTTTCTTAAATTGAATACATATATTCTAATTGCTGTAAATTGCTAGATGGTATCACTGCTTACTAGGTATCGTGCTGTGAATTCATACGGACAATAATCATTCAACTCATTCTGGGCGTCCAGCAATCAAGTGCTCAGTTTTGAAAAGAAGAAGACCCATTATTCAAATTACCACACGTCCCGAAATGACTTTCATTACTAACGCAATTACTGGTGGTAGGGCCTCTTGTAAGTCCGCACGGGTAGGTATACCACCACCCTGCCTATTTCTGCCGTGAAGCAGTAATGCGTTTCGCTTTGAAAGGTGGGTGGCGCTTTTACGTTGTAGTCTATGGGCTCCAGTAACCACTTAACACCAGGTGGGTTGTGAGCTCGTCCACCCATCTAAGCGATAAATAAAACATAAAAAAATCGAGGTGACCTATAAGCCTTACCCATTTACGTCCATAAAGAAGAAACGAAAAACAATAAATCACAATTAACATTGTTGCAGTTACATAAGCAATTTCGGTAATAAAGTCTGCGGTAGAGATATCGCAATACTAATAAGCTCTTCATTGAATCGGGAGGGATTCGATCATAATAAAGAGATAAGCGAATCCGAGAGGTTGAAGGAGGTGTTACAGCAGTTGAGAAGGCACAAGTTCTGGCTGCACACCGCGTTGGACGTGGTCTGCGACAATTTGCAGTTTCTGAAAAGTCGATTCAACGACAGGGACATTATCAAAAACTGTCAGCTGGTTTTGTATCCTGTGTGAGTTTTCATTTTACATTTAGCTCTGCATACATTTTATAATTAATGCACTTTTTTATATACAGTACCTGGCGATAAATATTGCACATCGATCTTTAGAAAGATACAATTGGGTAATTTCGGCTTCGTAGAGCGTTATTTATGCCGCACGAAACACGAACAGTCTGGTATTTATTATGTCCACAAACTACCGTCATCTACGTCACATACGTAGTCTTTCAAAGGTCTTTTTTTTCTTTCATCCCATAGACGTTCACTGCTAGGCACAGGCTTCTCACACCAGAATCGCCACAACAATCGGTATGGCGCTGATTTCAACCAGCCGATTTCCACGACTTTTAACAGGGCGTTGGTCCACGTTGTGGGACGTCTACTCACATTATGTCTTCCGTTATGCGGTTGCCACTGGATAACTTTATTTATTTATTTCAAAGGTCTTTGTGCAATATTTGTCGCCAATTACTGTTCTTGTTTTTTTGAAACTATGCCACCCACCTTCCGTTGATGGTGCCTATACAAATCTTTGAAGTTTCAACAATAACTATACAAACACGTTTCAATTTATCAACATAAAATTACATAAAATGGTATATAAAACTGTTTCCAAGGCTTCGACTGACACTTTTTTTTACTCGCCTAAAGTTAAGTAACAAAACTTTAATTTATTAAATACTAACTTTATATTTTGCTGCGCGCGTTCATGCCACATGCCAGGCAAAAGATTTCTTTTTTTTTCGTCAACGTCTTTGCGCCCTTGAAATAAACAATAATTAATTACTGTTGTACAAGATACATCGAAAACCTTCTTTAAAGCTATTGATAAGATAACATTTAAAAAAAACTTTATCAAAATATAGTTGAGCTGTTTGTGGACTTACTCATGTTTTACCATCGTAGCATTTACCACCAAAGATCACCTTTACTACTTATCATTCAGCACTGTAGCGAACAGCACAGTTCAAACTCCACAATTTGGCCGTAATTACATTTTTTTAAAGTTCGCAATAGTTATCAGCGTTTATACATTACTGGTGCTTATGAGCGATGGTGACCACTAACCATTAAGTCTCTGTTAATATAAATTATCTGTCCGCCCTTAATAATCACGTAATAAAAAAACAGATTCTCAATAATTTTCAATTCTTCATTTCAGAACTGAAATAGAACAATATATAACTAAATTATTAGACATTCGAGACAATAAAGAAATCCATTCTCAGGACCGAGGAAATATGTATTACAATAATTTGAATTATGAAAAGCTAACTGGTGAACAGATTCTGAGTTTAGTATTATATGAGATAGAGAAGAAGTATCATTTCAGCGGAGATGGAATATGGGGAATGCAGGACGGTGTTAAAGTGGAATCGCGGGTCTAAAAAAACTTAATAAATAAATAAAAATGTAAACGGTTTTTTTTAAATTATGAATGCGATGATAACCAAGAGCAGATCATGCTCGGTTTCAACAATCTGTTTGCGATCGGAAAATTTATATCAATATACTGGTGGTAGGGCGTCCTGTGAGCCTACAAGGATACCAACACCCCGCCTGCGGTTGTACAACAGAACTAGGACGTAAAACTCAAGTCTCAAAGTGTGTGGTGGCTTTTACGCTGTTGATGTCTATGGGTGCTGGTAACCACTCAACACCAGATGGGCCGTGAGCTCGTTTACCCGTGAGAGCAATAAAAAATTATTTATTCTTTAAATATATTGTTACTCACAAAAAAAATTGAGATCTTTCAACCCGAGATCTAAAGAATATGTATTAGGGGTTAAAGTATGAAATTGCCGATTTGTACTAATGAAGGGCCGTCAAACATTCATTCGCAAACTTAGCGGCTGTGCAAATGGGTTCGGTACTCAATTTGCGAACCCGTTTGTGCTTCCTCCTACACTTGTTTACGAATGTCTCACGAATTTCTCCTCCTTTTTAATTCGTCAATAGAACATTGAAGAGAAAAAGAGTTTTGAATTCTTTCCAGCCAGCAGTTATTAACAGCCACGCTGTTTTTTTTTTTCTTAGATGGGTGGACGAGCTCACAGTCCACCTGATGTAAAGTGGTTACTGGAGCCCATAGACATCCACAACGTAAATGCGCCACCCACCTTGAGATACAAGTTCTAAGGTCTCAAGTAACGACGGCTGACCCACCCTTCAAACCGAAACGCATTACTGCTTCACGGCAGAAATAGACAGGGTGGTGGTACCCACCCGCGCGGACTCACAAGAGGTCCTATCACCAGTAATTACGCAAATTATAATTTTGCGGGTTTCATTTTTATTACACGATGTTATTCCTTCACCGTGGAAGTCAATCGTGAACATTTGTTGAGTACGTATGTCATTAGAAAAATTGGTACCCGCCTGCGGGATTCGAACACCGGTGCATCGCTCAACACGAATGGACCGGACGTCTTATCCGTTAGGCCATGACGACTACATCATTTACATTTTATGGAATTTCTTTTGATGAAGATACGCTACTCAGTAGACGTCACAATCTATGAAACTAGCGAAACGTCCGTTGCCTTCGCAATCCTAGGCGCAACTGGTCACACGAATGTGTGGGAGACTACGCGAAGGATCGCGGTTCGCGCGCTTTGATGTCTGTTAAAAAACCGACACAGCTTGGAAAACCACGAATGCAGCGAAAACTTTGCATAATCATTTGCAAATGTCGTCCTACACTTGCGGGTTTGCGTATTCGTGCGAATGTGAGTGACCGGTATAAAAATTGTGTTGTAGATATGCAAACTGTGTGAAAGCATTTTGTACTGCCTCCTGGGAAGATTTTTTTTATCACGTAGAAAATTGTCCAAATCACGAAAAAAATGGTAGTCCTTTGGAGCAAGGTCTGACGAATACGGAGGGTGACGAATGGTTGAATGGTTTCTAATTGCAGTTCCTCTAACTACAGTTAAAACGGTTTCTCGTGCTGTATGAGGACTCGCGTTATCATGGAGCAATAATGGTGAAAATCGATTCATGAGTCGGGGCTGTTTCATTGCAAGTTTTGCTATCATTGATCGGTGTTTAATGTAAAAATCTTCAAATCTGGTTACATTAATTCAACTAGTAATATGGACTAACGACTCTTTTTATTAATAACCGTAAAAGGAGGATGGATAGAAATTAAGAAAAATCAATCAGATTTGAAGTTAGTAATTAAGCAAAATTGTTCGCACGCTGTTTTTTCTTTTAATAAATTTTTGGGTTAAAAAGTGTAGTTTTAACATGTTTGGTCCTTCGAGAACTGGATTATAAGTGCAAAAAACAATAGTGTAAAAGGCTAAGTGCTAATTACTGCGAGTTGGTTTATGAACTATTTCACAAACTTGGACATTTAAACAGTGCGTAATTAATTTTGGATTTGGTACGATACTTGGACTATAGTAATTGCTAATATTTAGAAAGTGATTTGGACGAATACAATTTTTGTTACGTAAACAATGGCTCAACNCTGTCGTTGATGAACTCCCGTTGACTCCTGGTCATTTTTTGATCGGCGAAGCACCGGTTACTATCCCTGAAGAAAGTTTCGTGGATACTCGACCTGACTATTTAAACCGATGGCAAAAGGTGCAACGTATGGTACAAAGTCTGTGGCGACGCTGGCAATCTGAGTATCTTACTATGTTGCAACATCGATACAAATGGTCCCAGAATCACTCCGACATAAATGTTGGTACGGTTGTCTTAGTGAAAGATGATCGTTTATCTCCAGGTAAATAAATGGCTTTTGGGACGAATCGTGGCGAAGCACCCGGGAGCAGACGGTGTAACGCGTGTAGTCTCCTTACAATTTAAGGATCGTGTATTTAAGAGACTTGTTACTAAACTGTGCCCTCTGCCTCTAGCTGCTTCAGAGCCTTAGTTAAGTTATAGTTTATAGTTTTGTTTTGTAGATTCTCACTCTATTTAAGTTAAAGTTCAGATGTTTGTATCTTCCACGGTTAAAGGACCCATGTAGTCCTTGGGCCGCGGCATGTTTAATGTAAAAATCTTCAAATCTGGTTACATTAATTCAACTAGTAATATGGACTAACGACTCTTTTTATTAATAACCGTAAAAGGAGGATGGATAGAAATTAAGAAAAATCAATCAGATTTGAAGTTAGTAATTAAGCAAAATTGTTCGCACGCTGTTTTTTCTTTTAATAAATTTTTGGGTTAAAAAGTGTAGTTTTAACAATCGGAGTTCGGCCCAGTAGACATCTGCCATTCATTATTGCTTGACCAAATCGGAGAAAGCTATAGTGAATAACACTATGCTGAGACCACCAAACAGTTACCATTACTTTTTTATTGGTAAGCTTTTCATTAGGAACCTGTTGCGGAGTTTGATCTGGGATAGCCATTGCATTTTTCGTTTACGGTTATCGTAAAAAATCCACTTTTCATCACATATCACAATTCGATCCAATATTCCTTCATTTCTGTATCGATTCAACAAGGCAACACAAGGTTCAACACGCGTTTCTTTCTGCTGATCAGTCAAATCATGAGGCACCCATTTTTCATATTTTTTTATTTCATTAATTTAACGCAAATGAGTCAATATTGTTGGTAAGGTAACGTTAAACGATGCCGCTAATTACTGGGTAGTTTGGCTCGAATCGGCTTCCACCATCTCTTTCAATTCATTGTTAATCACATGTGTGGGCAGTCTTCCACGTGGTTCGTTCTTCAAATTAAAATTTCCATCATGAAAGCGTTTAAACCTAAATCGCACCGTGCGTTCATTAGCAGTCCCCTGTCCAAACGCAACATTGATATTGCGAGCTGTTTCTGCAGCGTAAGTCCTGTGTCGGAACTCGTATTCAAAAATAACTCGAATTTTCGAAGTATCCATCTTTCTTGTCTAAGCTGAATAAAAAAAACAACTGAAAGTCGATAATCGAATGATGCACATTTTTTTAAAAGAACAAGGAACCTCATAGTTACCATTTGAAAAAGTATCACTCAAAAATCTCAAACCATGAAGGTTCTATGTCAATTCGAAGTACCTATCTATATATTAATACGTGAAGCAAAAACTTAGTATGTCTTTTTACGAAAATTGCGCGGACGGAGGAGTATGAAATTTTCCACACTTATAGAGAATACAGAGAAGAAGTGCACAATGCTAATATTTTTTTAAAATAATGCATAAAAGATACTTTAAATCAATAAAGAAAACAGCACACACACTACATACCATGTATTTGACGCACACGCGCATGCATACTATTTATTGTCAAACTTTTGTTCTTGACGTCTGTGGTCAAACTGAGAATAGATTAAATATTGTTTGTCTTTATTAATATTTTTTAATAGTGTAGCCTTGGCGAAATTCGTGATTATAGAAGTATAAAATACAACCATAATAGTGTACAAACTTACAATTCCAATTAATTATAGTCGAATTTCGACTACTGCGTGACCTCTAGTTACAATAAAACGGCAATTTCATACTTTAACTTCTATTATTAAAGAGCTGTACGTTCGTGTTTATTATAAAAGCAGGTCCCAGGGACCGCAGAACCCGCACACAGCCTACCGTCGATAGTAGGTACAGGCATGGTGAAGCGGAAATGATTGAAAAAAAAACACTTTATTACTTTCTTAAATTTGTATTACAATTCTTTCACAGTATGAAAAATGGAAAAATAATTATCTTATTGCTTTCGAAGCTTACTAACTAACTAAGAATAATATTAAAATGTAATGCATCTTAAAAAAGCCAATGTGATTAATTGTGCTTTGTTTGTCGTAGACGAATATGTAAACAATGTACAATTAATACCATTTTAATTATAATAATTTTAACACACACTATACGACTTTATATAAAGAGTTTGTGTTTGTAGATTAGGGAAGTATATTTTTTAGTTAGAAGTAAAGTTAACTGAGCATTTACTTTATCTCTGACTAAAGACAAGAAAGCTATCAACATTTTAACGCTTGTACTAGGTTTGTATAAATTTTAAAAGTATTAAAAGAATCCATTTTTGGAATATATATTCCTCGTATATAAAATAAATGAAATAACCTAAATTGTTATCAGAATAAGTGTTGTAAATTTAACACTAAAAATTGTAGTCAAAGTATTTTATCAAAGAAACATTCATATAAAAACCTACCTACTTAATTTCGTATCAAATATTTTAATCATCTACAATCTATGTATAATATGTTTAAATATATTTCTAACCTACATTAAATTTAAAACAAAATATTTGTATAATCCGGTTACTTATTTGCTATATTAACTAATTTACCGAATATTACAATAAATGTCACTATAAGCTATAAATATTAACTCTTTCTTTTCTTTGGCACATGCTATTCACTTCTTTTTTCTATATTCTACATTAATATTTAGGTACCTACCTAATTTTATTATATTATAAAAAGAAATAACTTAATATTTTCACACTTAAGATACCAGTTAGTTTGCTAGTTATATATTACAAATAAAATTCATTTTCTTTTTATATGTTAGTCGTTTCTGCGTTCCTAAAGCAGTCATTGGATTATGATGAAATTTGTTACAGTGGTCCTCCTCCTTGCGTCGGTTTCCTCATTACTGAGGGTCGTGGTCATGGCCTTGAAACAGATTGTTTTTTATAGTGCACCGTCATCTGTTACAGTGGTAGCTATCGCTAAAAGGGGCCAGCCTACTAGCGTAGCTAGACCACGCGACTTCGCGAGCATATGTAAGTCATGTAATTTTTTTTAGTTTTCTACAGACGTTAACGCTAATAGATAGCACTGGCCAAGCATCTTTGGTTAAGTTACTGTCGTACTAACATCAACCTACAATAAGATCTGCGCGTATACTTTCAACAAATTAATGTTTTGCATACAATTACTGACGTTCATAAAGTAGCGATCAACCCGTTGACAACCCTTAGTGGGTTGTCGCCAGATCTTCTCAGTGGGTCCCGATTCTGTTCCGATGGTAGATTCAGTGAAACATTGCTCCTGCTAGGGCAGATGTTTTCAATTCCTTTTAGGCTGAGCCCCGTGAGCTCGCGCACGGCTTAGGGCGAAGCCAGAATAGTCCCTAGAGGTTTTCTTAAGCATAGTATGTGGGAATCGATTCCGAAACCAGCAAAAAACTAGTATACGTAATGTAAACGAAAACCACTAGTAATTTTCTAAACTAAACCAAATTATTTACTCGTTTTAAAATAAAGAGTGTAACGCGAATACCACTACCAAGAAGCGTCTTGCATTTTATCGCGTGGATTTCGCGCGTCTATTGATTGTTGAAATTTACGTTATTAAAATATAATTATTCGAATGTGATTAGTTGGCAATCAGTGTAGTCATTCAATCATTGTATGTAATATTAACTAATAAGATAAGAATAAGATAAAAAAGCTAACGATCGAAATTAAAATCTCTTCTAACTATCAAACTAAGTACATACCTAAAATAAATTGAGAAAACTTTCAATATATATTTTAACACTATCCAAATGTAATCTTATCATTAAGGCACAAGGAATGCACAAGAAGTGAAGTTTCCTATACGAAAATAGGTTTTAATAACATATCAATCATTTAACCTAAACATTTACCTAGGCACCTATAATATTGAAATTTAATTTTACATGATATTAACAAACACGCTTTCATTCTTTGGTATATCTGTAGAGTTTAGACCATAATAAAATTAATCTGATTATTAGGCGAAAAAAAAACTTAAAATGCTAATAAAAAAAGACGGTAATGCATTCTAAACAATTCTCTTAAATCAACCGTATTTTTAATAATATCTATCAATAAAATTATAATCTTTATAAACAGAGCTAAAGACATTAGTAAAATTTAATATCCTAAAAAGCTATCTACACCTTTACCACCCTAAATGACAAACATAAAATCAAAAATAAATAAATACTCCTTTTCGAAATTAATCTATTTTATTGGTGAGAGAATTTCGAAAAGGAGTATTTCAATTCAAAAAAGGGGGCAGGGTGGTGTAGGCCTGGTTGGGACTCGGTTCCATTTTAACAACCACTGGCTGTGATAACTCCGAGTGACGATCCATTTCGTAGTGTTTCTCATGGGTCACTATACCACATTTTTCATAGTCCTCAGGAGGTCCTGCGTAACGCGGCGGCTCATCTTGTAGGGCGCACGCATTGTATTTGTCTTCGTGGTCATGAGCCCGATATTCGAGTTTGTCGTCATGACCGTGAGCTTCCATTTGCGGTGAATGCGCCGCCATCATTGGATAATCTCTCACCCCCAGTGGAGGCGGACTACCTTCGCCGTACTCATAAGAGTGCCTAGGTGCAAACATTTGTCCATCATGACCGTTGAGTACTGTTGTATAGGTGTACGCTGGCTGAGTATTAAATCCTGGGTATCCACTGCTGCTAGAGGACAGTAAATGATGTGACGATAGCTCATAAGAATGTTGATAAGACCATGAGTCTGCCGGAGCCGGAATTCCGTTTTGAGGAAACGCTGGTAGATTACTGCCGATACCGGAGAACCCTCCTCCTAATGTGGTAGAACTGGGTGAACTAGATCCAATATAACCAGTTTTTCGTGGTGGTTCGCGTTTGCGCCATTTCGCTCTTCTATTTTGGAACCAAACCTGTAATTGTCGGATAAAATGGTTGTATAACTGTAAAAAAAACTTTTTGGCATGTAGTGATAAATTCAATAAAATTAGAGAATAAAATTCTACCTGTACACGTGATTCGGACAAATTGAGCTTGAGAGCTAATTCTTCTCTGGCGAACACATCTGGGTAAGGGGCTCTTTCGAAAGCTCGTTCCAATTCTTCTAATTGATAGGCAGTAAATGTGGTACTGCGAACAAAACAACAGTAGTTACTTAATAATGAGTAAATGGAAACATCGTTACTTTAATCTTGTTACTAAAACTATCAACATTTAATAATTAAAAAGCACGCTAATAATGCATTCATGAAATTCCTATCTCCGTAGGGTGCGTCCACCATCTGACGCGTGCAGTATGGCTGCGGGCCATGCACGCGCAGAAATTGATTGACCGTGAAACTAAATTCATCCCTGTCGCGTGTTACCACCTTAAATTGCCTGACAATTGACCCTCTCGTGTTAGTAACATTATTCCTATAAATAATTGTTTCAACACGTCATTCGTTACTATATTTTTACGTGCGTGTCCGTTGTGAATTTTTATTGTAATATGTGAAATCAAGTTGATGTGACATTTTGTATCAACTAGTATTATTAACTTTGTAAACTCAAGAATATAAAAAAAAAACCTAAACATAGCTATTTACTTTAAAAAAAATTAAGTTAAAATAGTTAATCCATAAAATAATATTAACGCACCAAGTATGTCGTAGACCATAATAAAATCCCTTTTATGTATCTTAATTTAAGATCAGGATTGTACAACACTTGCACAATACGGCGATTAGGCGCACGCACTAGATCCCTCGGTCACTGGCCACTATTCTGAGATCGCACGATAAACCTATTGAGTCCCTACAGTATCGTCATGCGGGTAATTAATCCAAACATACCATCACGCCTTTTTACAATACTTCTGAGGGGATCGCCTGCATCAGGCTACTTTTCTAAAACCAAGAAACGGGTACCCCCGATATCTTGAAAATGAACAAGTCAACAAATTTCCTTAAGAGTTTTTTATTTTAGGCAAACAAATATTTAAAATAATTTAAATATGCTGACCATATGCCCCGCAATATTTTTTAAATCATCGAATTAGTTATGCAAATAATAAAATAGGGGTTCGTCGGATGCGATCATTCCAATGCAGAATTCACAGGGGTGCTTCCCTAGTCAAAAACAACACCTGTTATGTTCAAAATGACACGTGCCTGTACTTCTGTAAGTTTACTTTTTGACAACATGCATAACTGAACACTTAATTCCTGTGAATTTTTAGAATATATTATTTATGTTTATGCTGACAGAGATTAGTACACCATCTGGCAACCAACATACTAAGTGACTAGTTTTATATGTAGTATACCTATTAGTGTTTTAAAATATTTAACGCGATGTTCCTAACTATTATAAGTTGAACAGGTTTTTACTATTATTAACCTACCATTACATACCTACCATTATTAAGTTATAAATATTTTGGCTTGAAGAATAAGTACGTAAGAATCAATAATCTGACTCAACTGAGGTTTCGACGTCGCTTCTGAAAGTGGGTAACTATATCTACGTTGAAAAGGCTATGGTCACATTTCGAAACATTAAGTATCCAGATCGCGCGTTTTAAACACAAATCGTTGTGCAGATTTAACGTAACCCGCAGTAGTTGAAATTCGACTATAATTAATTGGAATTGTAAGTTTCTACACTATTATGATTGTACTTTATACTTCTATAATCACAAATTTCGCCAAGACTACACTATAAAAAATATTAACAAAGACAAACAATATTTAATCTCAATTTGACAACAAACGTCAAGAACAAAAGTTTGACAATAAATAGTATGCATGCGTGTGTGCGTCAAATACATGGTATGTAGTGTGTGTAATGTTTTCTTTATTGATTTAATGTATATTTTATTTATTATTTAAAAAAAAAATTAGCATTGTGCACTTCTTCTCTATATTCTCTATAAGTGTGGAAAATTTCATACTCCTCCGTCCGCGCAATTTTCCTAAAAAGTGATACAAAGTTTTTGCTTCACGTATTAATATATAGATAACCTAGATATATGATGATACATTTTATATATTTTGCTATGTAAATAATGTTTCTTCGCGCAATAACATTTGCATACTTTTAGACTGATTTATCACGATTATTCTTTAATTCTCATAGGCGCGAAGCTGGAATAGCCTCTTAGGATACGAGCGAATAAGTAGGAAAAAAAGTAAATTGTTAAAGCCGTAGTCGCGATAATTCCTTTTGGAATCGTTTTTTTTTTTTAATTAATAAACACGAAGGACACAAATTAATAAATTAATTATTAACACTAAGACCGCATTTGAATTAACTTAAACCTATACACATCGATTTTTGAATTTTTTTCTTCTTCGTACAAGGAAAAGTATCTAAAAGTTAATCATGTATATGACATTCAGTTATGAGTATTGACGAAAAATACATTATCGTCACTTCAAAAGCTGTGAAGCTCTTCTAGTAAAATGATCATTAAATGGTTTATCATATGATTTTGGAACTATGAAGTTTTACATACTATAAGCAAGCGTAACGTATATTATCTTATTATTTTAGATAGACAGACGAGAGCCTTACATGCTCTGTTTGCTGGTTATCGGAGCCCATGGATATCGCAAGAGACGTGATGTTGAAGTATCAATTATCTTATTTAGATAGACAGACGAGAGCCTTACATGCTCTGTTTGCTGGTTATCGGAGCCCATGGATATCGCAAGAGACGTGATGTTGAAGTATCAATTATCTTATTTAGATAGACAGACGAGAGCCTTACATGCTCTGTTTGCTGGTTATCGGAGCCCATGGATATCGCAAGAGACGTGATGTTGAAGTATCAATTATCTTATTTAGATAGACAGACGAGAGCCTTACATGCTCTGTTTGCTGGTTATCGGAGCCCATGGATATCGCAAGAGACGTGATGTTGAAGTATCAATTATCTTATTTAGATAGACAGACGAGAGCCTTACATGCTCTGTTTGCTGGTTATCAGAGCCCATGGATATAGCAAGAGACGTGATGTTGAAGTATCAATATTATAGAGTATAAGGTGTCCCACCATTTATTCCAAAATTTAATTGCAGAAACACGCAACACGGTTGTACACATAGGTATATTTGCAGACTAAGAATGCGTTCTACTACCAAAATCACTGGTGGTAGGACCTCTTGGGAGTCCGCACGGGTAGGTACCACCACCCCGCCTATTTCCGCCGTGAAGCAGTAATACGTTTCGGTTCGAAGGGTGGGGTAGCCGTTGTAACTATACTGAGACCGTAGAAGTTATATCACGAGGTGGGTGGCGCATTTACGTTGTAGATGTCTATGGGCTCCAGTAACCACTTAACACCAGGTGGGCTGTGAGCTCGTCCACATATCTAAGCCATAAAAAAAAAAAAAAAAAAAAATTAAATTTAACTTTAAATGCCGTTCGTTAATACTTTATAATAGATAGCCCTTTTTATTATACTTACATAACTTTTTTTTTCGCGTTTTGCAGATATTACTAATTATACACTAACTTCGTTGTCGTACTTCCATGATTCTTATAATGAATCCCGGATCCGAATTTCATTGAAAGGTATTCCAGAAAATCTAAATATTTACTAAATAAATTAATAAATATTTATTAATAATCACCCGCAATTGAAATTTCGACGGAAAGGCGTCTATCGGATCAGCTAGTAAAGTTTTTGATATTTGTATCTAAAGCTACAAATATCAAAAAATATCTCTGAATACCGATCTGAGTATCGAAAAGCTGTAAATTTTATTAAGCAGTTAACTTATATCTACTACCACTCTATTATCGGCACACAATCTAAAATTGTATTAATTAATTGTAAAATTGTATAAATTAAGTAAAGCTAAAATTTTAACCTGTTGACGTATCATTAGGATCGGTACATACCGTGTCTTTTTTTTCTTGATTCCATTGTTATCATTTTTCTTTTTATCACTCTTTTTTGATGTAGGAGGAGGCGGCGGAGGTGGATGAGTTGCCGGTGATGAATCTACTGTTTGAAGTAGTAACGGTTCCTCCTTTCGTTTTTGATCGGGTCCTCCGCTATACACTGGCATATCATCCCTGTATTGGAGTTCACCAACGGATCCGACGACCACCTGAACGTGTCGATCTTTTCCGAAATCAGTAAACATCTGTTCGTCAAAGGGTGGTTGTTCCATGGAAGATGGTGCTTGTTCGAAGGCACACTCGTAGCGAGCGGCCGGCCCTAGGGCTCCATCCCCGCACACGTACATATAGCCGTCGGGTGGCGGCGGGTGCGGGCCCGCTACCTCCGCGCCCACCTCGCTGGACTCCGTCGCGAAGATCTCGCTGATGCTCGGCCCCGTGCTTGCCTCGGCCCAGCCGAGATCTGCTCACCGACTAATTATTAATTTCAGTAATAAACAATTTGCCTTCATTTAATCTACGTTTCGGGATCGACGAACGCTCGCGCCGTTCGTATCCTTGTATCCGTCCCGGTTAAATGGCTTCAATTAACTTTAACGAACTAACCGAATTTGCTCTACGGTTGGTCAATTTATATTTCCATAATACGACTCTCCGCGTACATTTCAAGCCAATGATTGGCGTGTTCGACGCGCAGTGACGATATGCTCGAGAACTATTATGATCTGTGTGGCTCGCTTTGAAGTTTGATATTGAGTCGCTGTAAAGAGGCGCTTGTGACTATAATATTGTAGTGTGAGGAGCCAATAGCGACGTCAGCGGGCCACTCCCCCGGTGTTGGTTCGTATCCCCTCGCGCACTCGCGCCCTCGCCGTAGCGCTACGGTTAAGCTCGGCGGTCGTCGCACGATGTTTCTCTCATGTATGGACCATGCGGGATTCCCACAAATTCGTATGGTATTCTGTTTGTCTCAGTACTTTTGAAGGGCTCCACCGCCCACATGATTAGTTCGAAAGTCTATAACGCAGTATTGTAAAACCCTATCTAACAACAGCGGTGCGTCTCTTTATGATTTATAGCCGTGGGAAAAATAAATGCAGTTTCATGTATACCTATTTGAAGTATTCGCAGCCTTGTTTAATCACGACTCGATTGATTCTTTGAATACTTCTACTCACGTAGGGTACTGCTACGACTGAACTGAAGTATATGAAGCGGTAGTGCACCTCGGCAGCGACGCCGGCGCACTGATGCCGATCGACACGACCCGATCGTTTAATTATTAATTAACAGTTCCTGCCGGGGATTAATAACAAAACATTCGCCCTGACTATTGGCACTTAGATTAACGCCGAGGGAGTAATGGCGCATTTCAACAATTTCGGTTGTTATTTAATTGAAGTCAATTTAGATGATCAGAGTCTATTTAGGTTGGTGCTGGCGCTCGTCAGTGGGATATCTGCTTCATTGGGCTTATTGGTGACTTTCAGACAACACGAATTGCACTCGTTGCACTTCTCTTTGTATTTGCATTATGCAAGAACATATAAACTGGCCACGGTCACAATTTATTTAAAAAAAAATACGCGCATTTACTTATGTGTCAATAGTACCTAATGAATAAGCTTTAGGCGGTGAAGTGATGAAAATGTTTGGATTCTACACAAATGTGTCATTGAAGTCACGCAGTGAAGTTGGTGATAGTAGTCGGTGTCAAAAAAAATCTGCATATATATACGTGTGTGTGTTTGTGTGAGTAAAAGCAAAAATTTCATGAACACAGGAATCTGGCGCCACCTACTTACAGCTAGAGACTTGAATAGGTATGATCGTACGTACTTAGGTACATAGTTTAGGTAGGTACGTTAGTTTTCCACATACATACATTATATACGCAATATACGTAAGTATATAAACATAAATTGTCTCCAATTTGCAATGTATAAATATAAGCTATTTGTTATAATTTGTGTAACTTTTGTAAAGATTTAATTGAACCAAAAAAATTCGGAGCCAGTATAGTTTTATCCTAGGACCACTTTTTGTAGAGAAACGTTCTTACCAAATACGTACGACTTCTGCGATGATGAAAGAAAATCGAGCATTAATAATCAAATCCGTCAAATTTGTGAGTTTGCGACTTTGAATATTTTTTGTTGCGTTATTTTGATAGAATGACTTGTTGTTAATCGACACGAGTAACCAACATTCTTTCGCTATGCCGCTGTTTTTGGAGTGGTTTGCAAAATCAAAAAGCTGTTACCCAACACAGTTTTGATTTCGACCTCATGTTTCAACCTTACCAAGTGGACCGTCACTTCGTCTGATATAAAATAACAACAGAAAAAATTGTAAAATATTGACATACGAAGCTTTTGTTATGACTGTACCTAACCGACATTCGAGCCAACCTGATGATAAATTGTTATTTAAAAGGATTTGTTAGAACAGTATTATCGATAATCTGAACGGGCCTCTTCTGCACGGAGTGACGGTCAAAGTCAAATGCTTTAAGGCGAAATCAGCAAAACGGTGGTATCCCATATGCGAAGGTAGCTCGTTTTACGCCTACCACTAGTTAGTAATTACCACATTACAAAAATTCACAAATTTTGTGGGTTTGATTCCTATAAAACGATATATTTATTAATACTCAAAGATGATCGTGACCACATGTTAGATCCGTACTTAAAATACTGAGGCTTGGAGTGTACCACGCTATACAAGTGAGCGGTTTTCTCTATTACGCCACGGATGTTACCGGTCATCGTTCTAGTCAAACCCGTCGCTTGCGACGAAGGGCTCGGCGAGCAAATTAACCCACAGACACAGCCCCCTGACTTTCTTGCTGGATCTTCTCAGTGAGTCGCGTTTCCAAACGGGTGGTAGATTCTGCAAAGCACTGCTCTTCCTAGGGTTAGTGTTGACAACGTCGTTAGATTTGAGCCCCGTGAGCAAACCTACTTGTTAGATAACGCTGACATAGCCTCTAGTCTCAACGCTATAAGCTTAGGTAGGAAAAAAAAAATGTTTAATGGGAAATTTGAAGAATAGATTTATAACCGTTTACTCCTTCAAACCTCCTCCGATAAAGCACGAAAGGGACCGCTGCCCGGTTTTGCGCTAAAAAGTCGAAACCCACATTTCTTTCTTTCCCTGGGTCAGTCTCGTAAACTTAAATAATTTAATAAAAGAAATCGTGATTTAGATTATTTATCTAAAGGCACGATTTCTTTTCATTTCTTTTATATACTCGCAAAATATGTTCATAGCAAACATATTTTGATGATGATGAGATGTGTAAAGGGCGAATAACTGCCCAACAGTTTCTAGACACCAAAAGCTTCGAGATAATTTTTTATTATTTGAAGATCATGTATTTAATTATTTTTTGATTCTATATAGGATCCTTTGGAACCTCTGGGTCTGCGGAGGGACTTCAATTCTCTCTGTATTTTGTACCGTATGTTCCATGGAGAGTGCTTTGAGGAATTGTTTGAGATGATCCCATCATCTCGTTTTTATCATCGCACTGCCCGCCACCGGAGTAGAGTTCATCCATACTACCTGGAGACACTGCGTTCATCCGTGTGCCAGTGCGTTTCCAGATATCTTTTTTGCCACGTACCTACCAGCCGGTTTTGAAATGGGCTTCCCTTCACGGTGTTTCCCGAGCGCTATGACATATCCTTCTTCAAACGAGGCTTGTCGAGAGTACCTACTTAGCGGTAAGCAGTCGCTTGGCTCTGCCCCTGGCATTACTGAAGTCCATGGGCGACCGTATGCTCGTCTGCCTACAAGGGCAATAAAAAAAATATGCCGGTTGTTTTTGGAAAGTTATAGATTTAAAAGGAATTTCCACCTAAGCACCTTAGTTGACGACTTTTTTCTCTTCCGATTATTGTTAGCATCAACCATTCAGACCAATAGGTTGTCCGTCATTTACCACAGAAAAACTTAGTGTACATAGGTACTCGCAGTTTTTTGTAGTAGCCTACATTATTTATTTATTATTTATATTACATAAGTTTTCAGTTCCTCATACGAAACTACCATTGGCTTTTTATATTTCTCGTCAACTAAACATTTTGAATACCTCCATCCTAATTAGTACGAGTATATCAGTGCTTATATAATGATTACTATATAATAGTCTACAGTAGCATCTTCGACTATTTACCTACTATCTGTCGATCGGATTTCATGGAAATCTGATTTTTCTCTTCTTGATTGTTTTTTTTTAAATAATTAGGTACCATTTTTTGTCACAAACGAGTAAAATCAAGTATGACACTTGATTGCCCCGAAAATAAATACAGCTAAGTCTCCAAATAAATAATAACGAAAAAATTCCAACTTAACTGAAATACTGAAAATATAGTATTTTTACTCCAAAACTGTTCAACTTTAATATAAATTACTGCTGGCCCTTCCCCCTTTCTGCTCAAATCATATTATATATCGTCAATAGTGACTATCAACGTACATATAGTTTCTTATTGCTTAGCCGAAAGGGCCATTACAGTTACAGATGGGTAGATAAGTCGTCGTGGCCTAAAGGATAAGACGTCCAGTGCATTCGTAGCGATGCACCGGTGTTCAGATCCCGCAGGCGGGTACTAATTTTTCTAATGAAATACGTACTTAACAAATGTTCACGATTGACTTCCACGGTGAAGGAATAACATCGTGTAATAAAAATCAAACCCGCAAAATTATAATTTGCGTAATCACTGGTGGTAGGACCTCTTGTGAGTCCGCACGGGTAGGTACCACCACCCCGCCTATTTCTGCCGTGAAGCAGTAATGCGTTTCGGTTTGAAGGGTGGGGTAGCCGTTGTAACTATAGTGAGACCCTTAAACTTATATCTCAAGGTGGGTGGCGCATTTACATTGTAGATGTCTATGGGCTCCAGTAACCACTTAACACCATGAAGGCTGTGAGCACATCCACACCTAAGCAATAAAAAAAAAATGCGCTCAGCCTGAGAGAACTTACTAACACTAGTGTCTATGAGCTAGCTTGCACGTCAAACTTTTCGTTCTAATCGACGAGTTCTACGCGGACCTACCTAGAATAGCCCCTTAGGCTACTAGGTAGGGAAAAAAAGAGTCTTGATTTGTAATCTGTCTTGTGTGATTTGTTCTGATTTTTTATCTATATATATAAAAATGAATTGCTGTTCGTTAGTCTCGCTAAAACTCGAGAACGGCTGGTCCGATTTGGCTAATTTTGGTCTTGAATTATTTGTGGAAAATCAGAGAAGGTTTAAAAGGTAGATAAATATGAAAATGCTCGGAATTAAATAAAAATAATAATTTTTTTTTTCCTTTGATGTGTCCCCCTTCGGGCGGATTGCTTTTGGTTGGCTTAAGTTTATTTTATACAAAAGCTTAGGTCTGTTATTTATCAATTGAGGTACTACGAAGTCTGCCGGGTCAGCTGGTCAGAAATAAATAACAAACAAAACACAGCTCGTTACCAAGCAATAATAAACCTACTTATAACTTCTTTCTGAAAACAATAGTGCATAAATAAATACTTAAGTTATTTGGTTTTTTATTGCTTAAATGGGTGGACGAGCTCGCGGGTCATCTGGTGAGATAAGTAGTTACCGAAGTTTTGAGACATGAGTTCTAAGGTCTCAGTTTTTACAATACAACGACTGCCCCACCCTTCAAACCGAAATGCATTACTGCTTCATGGCAGAAATAATGTAATATTTGACTCTCTAATGTACACGCGGGTAGGTACCACCGCCCTGCCTATTTCTGCCGTGAGGCCGTAATGCGTTTCGGTTTGAAGGGTGGGGCAGCCGTTGTAACTATACTGAGATGTTAGAACGTATATCTCAAGGTGGGTGGCGCATTTACGTTGTAGATTTCCATGGGCTCCAGTAACCACTTAACACCAGGTGGGCTGTGAGCTCGTCCGCCCATCTAAGCAATAAACAAAAAAAACATATGTGTCAGCAATGCTATTTAAACTGCCTAAATTCACAAATGCAACGCTATCTAAAATTGTTCGCATAATGTACTCGAAAGTAAAGTCATAGGTTTTTTTTTTTAATAAATAGGAAACTACACGTGCTCCTCAATGAGACAAGCATACATCAAATTCAAATTCGTGGTAAAAGCTAGGTACACAATCAAATGAGTCATGTGACAAACTGACGCAGGCGCGTAGGCGCTTCACATAAAATCTCACTGGCGACGTAGAATCTGCCGCCCGCTCAATTGGACTCAATTGGTTTAATTGACTTCAATTGAAATGACCTCGCGTACTCTTTCCAGCTCCCGTTTCTAGCATGACACTTGTTCATGTTCATTATTTTTTGGAGCTCACTAAAGCACTTTAAAATTATGATTGATCCAAATAAATCCAGTGCATTTTTTAGACGGTCTGAATAAAATTTATTAACCATATAGTGTAACCATAACATCGATTAGTATCTTGAAGATTGTCGACGGTTTTATTTTCCGAGTATAAATTGTGGTTTGGAGGGTAGAACAAAATTGATCCCCAATACAATCAAGCCCATGTAGAAACGTCTGGCGGTAGCCATATTGCAATGTCTTTTAAACTCCGGTCCCTACTCAATTACCAAGTCTGCCCAATATAAAAAGCCGTTTTCTAAAATTTTAAAATTACGAGTCACTAAGCTAGTTAACGCCCATGACTACTGTACCATGGGTTGTGGCTCATCGAAGAAACATTCATGAAATTAACAGGTTTATTTGCTCTTTATTTGGGTGTTTAATCTGTATTAGGTATATAGGTATGCATATATTTGTAAGTATATTATAATAGTATGTATATTAGTCTCTGGTTCCCATAGTACAGGGAATCTTAAGTTTCGTACGAGGTGACCGTGTGTGACTCGCCCCCGATTATTATTATTATTATTTGAACTAGACAGAAGTTACTCTGATTATAACAGGCACGATGACGGAATGCCGCTATAAAGACACATTTTGGCACGTGTCCTATCCGGTGGACAATTGATCTTAATTAGGAAATGGCGGTGTGATGCGATTGTGACATACGATGTCCGTCTTTATTTCTGAATTTGTAACATTAAAACTTAATGCAGCAAAAGTTGATAAAATGATAATGGTAATATAATAAATAGTTTAGAATTCAGTCACGCCTTTTCTTCTTCGACTTTGTTTTCCAGAAATATGTTTTGTCTTTGTTCTCGTTTGATTCATTATTTTCTTGAATTGTTTCCAAATCGCTTAAACGCTTCGATCTCTCCAGTTTATGTTGACGCCTAATTTTGTTTTCATCAAGCCCTGTCGATTCTGATATAATTGACAGACTATCTTGAAAACGTAAATGCTTACTTCTTCGCTCCGAACTACCTTCGTGTACTTGAGCATTTGATAAAAAGGAGCTAGAAGTGGGACTGTTGTCATTCAAGGATTGATTTAAATTGTCATACTCATAGCATTTAAGTTCGGCTTCTTCAAGTACTTTTTTGAATTTTGAATTTATGTTTACTGAACTGACTGAATGAGTCTTCGACGTTGAAGGCTTTGACGCTTGAAAGAATTTTAAAACGTTTAATTCTTCATCATTAACTTGGCAATTAAAATTATCTGGGTCTAAAAATGAATATTCATCCGACAGTACCAAATTTTCTGAAACTGAACATTCTAGAGGCTTCAAATCATTTTTCTTAAATTGAGTGTTCTGAAAATCTTTCAATGCCATGCCATTTTCCGTTTGGACTCCGGTATTAACTGATGGAATTCCTAACATCTTTCGTATCTCAAACTCGGTAAAAGAAAACCTTTTCTTCGCTTTCATGTTGTCGTTTGATAGGCCTGACACCATGATATCACTATTTTCTATCGATTTAAATTTATGTCGGAGATATTTACAGCAAAAAAAGTCAATTAACAATCTAATACAAGTTTTTTTCTTTTTGTTTCCATCTTGATCACCATCATACATTAAATCATCTTCTGGATGACCAAGATATACCAGTTTGGAATCATTGTCGATTTCATTAGGAGATCGCATTACACTTTTCAGTAATAACCTGAAAGTACATAATACATGAAGCTTTCTTGCCTCTTGCATAACTCCAGCCACCTTACCTTCTACTTAGGTATATTATGCATGTATATATACAAATATTCAAACAGAATCGTAATAAAATAAATAAGTAGGTACGGATTGTTGTTATTTTATGCAAAAAAAAGTAAAATAAACTTCTAATTAAGGAAAACAAAAGTGAAACGAATGTACTCTATTTAAAAAAAAAGGGTTTTGTGGGTTGATGAATGACATTTTGTGTCGGTAAAATGGCAAATCTCCTTTTCATATTAATTTAAATTATAATTATTGATAGACTCGTATTTCCGTCACGAAAATTAAATTGTATACAGATTGTTGGTCTATGTGTTTGTGCGCGCTAATCTTCACACAGACTGAACTGAAATTTATGAATAGCTCTCAGTGGTCTATCGTAATAAGTTAACTGGTTTGAATGAATTAGACCATCATTTGTCTCAATGTTTTATACAAATACAATTAAGACAAAACGCAAAAACCAAACCAAAAAATCTAGAGAATTTGTCAAAGCTTATGATCCGTAAAGACGACAAAGCCAAATTCCAAAAATTCCAAAAGTTTTGGAAGGCAATTCGAGAACAACAATAGCAATTAGTTTAATATGTTCTTACATGTTTTCTTCGCCGTTCGAGTACACAAAAAAGGCCTCAGAAACACTAGGTACACATTTCTTGATCCAATACTGTACAATGTACAATGCCGTAAATAAAACTGCCAGTAAAGTAAATGAAGCAAGATACATGTTATGTTCAAAACCAGTTGATCGACACAACAAACGATCTTCATCGTAAATATCTGAAAAGAAATGAAAAAAAGATAAAAAAAATCCAAAGTCATAAGTGGATATCAAAATTAATAAAAGGAATTGAAAGTAAAGCCCACTTCTTTACAATGTTAATGAAAAAGCTTTCGTCATATTGTTCAAGTTGTGTGCAGTATTGAAACGTATATACGGGCCGTCAATTTAATAATTGTTTCACAATCAGAAATACCATAAGAACCACAATTCGGCACTCCATCACACATAGAACTTGTATCTATGCATATTCGGGTACCATAAACATGACATTCCATTTGTGTATTGGGACACCTTGAATTCATATCTGATAAAGCACGGGCAGGAGTTAACACTAGCGTCATATAGTCCATCTGGAAATTAAATATAACAAAATCGCAAATTAATCACCATAAGGTAGATAAAAATTTGACGAGAAAATAACTAACACTGAGCAAACGAAAAAAAGTTAAGTCCAAGGTAATCCTGATCTCTCTCTCATTATTTGTGATGTCAATTTTATTGAAAACTAGCTGACCCGGCAGACTTCGTAGTGCCTCAATCGATAAATAAAAGACCTAAATTTTTGTATAAAATAAACTTAAAATAAACAAAAGGAATCCGTCCGACGGGGAACACATCAAAGGAAAAACAAAATTGTTATTTTTATTTAATTCCGAGCATTTTCATATTTATCTACATTTTAAACCTTCTCTGGATTTTCACAAATAATTCAAGACCAAAATTAGCCAAATCGGTCCAGCCGTTCTCGAGTTTTAGCGAGACTAACGAACAGCAATTCATTTTTATATATAAAATAGATTACGTAATCTCTTATAATAAAAATAAATAGTTATGGTCTAAGAGCTGAAAATTTCGAAAACTATCCACAACAAATTACTCAATTGTAACAAGAAATGTAAGAGCATTTCTTAATTGTTCTATAACTTTCTATAAACACGGAGACAGACTGTCACCACTTCATTCATAATTCGCATAGCGAACGACCGTACTGCTTGGAGCAGTTCATAAAACTTTAACTTGTCATCATATTTTATCAATATGAAGTACTTCTGTGCGTAGACAAAATATTCACTCACACATCTACATAAGTATTAAAAACTGAAATAAAAGATTTTGCAACAGATCATCCTAGTAAGCCGGTAATAGCTTACGCGTTTCATCGTAATTTTATTGTTCAGATGTGCAGTTGATAATAATGAAAATATTATAAATTGAGTTTCTCTTTCTGCACGATATTGTGTACTCCCTGCTGATCCAATCACTTGAATTATTTTTTATTCTGTTACACACAGGCATGCATGCTAGTATTTTATTAGTAAAAATGGTACTGTGAGTAGCATTAAAACAATACACGTTCTAATTTGTAAAGTGTAATAATAAATATGAAAAGTATAGTCTTAGTAGGTATATAATCGTAATAAATTATTTGTGCATTCAAAGCCCTTTTCAGCGAAACCAGCTAGAAGCCTGTATTACCTTAAACTGCAAAGTAGGAACGAATAGAAAAATTAATAAAATAAATTAGTTTTACTATATTTATAGTTATTTATATACTACCCTAATAATCGATATTTGACCATAATCACTGATACTTTAAAATTAAGATACATTTTCTTCTTTTTTTTTCTCTTTCTTTCGTATCTTCTTTTTCGTTTTCTTTATTGTTTTATTATCAAACATTTGTAATAAACACTGAATCCAAAATTATGTCTTTCAAAAGTAAAAGAATTGGTGGACAAACAAAGTAAAAAAAATGTACTTAACCGTTCTGTTTATTATATATACACTCGAGAGCAATGAATGTTGGTCACCTAAAGAAACCTATAAATCTTGGAAACTAAGAATGTAGCCTAATGAAATAAATTGTGTTTAGTAAACAATTAAATACCGCTTAAATTAAAGTAATAAAATTTATGTCACTACACCTTATTCATTAAAAATTACATAAAGAAGAATAAACAGCTGATCTTCTTTTTTTTTTTTATTGCTTAGATGGATGGACGAGCTCACAGCCCACCTGATGTTAAGTGGTTACTGGAGCCCATAGACATCTACAACGTAAATGCGCCACCCACCTCGAGATATAAGTTCTAAGGTCTCAGTATAGTTTCAACGGCTACCCCACCCTACGAACCGAATCTCACCTTAAATCAAAAATAGGAAACATGACATTTTTGTACAACAATATGTTTTAATTTTATTTTAATTTGTTGTATTGCCTCCTTATGCTCGCATTACGTACTGCGTTTACGCGGTTTGGCACGCTGTATAACAAGTTTCTTATACGATTTTGGTAAATATTCGCTTATACCTCTGTGAGAACAATTTTGAGCTCACGAAGCGTGATTGGGGGAGGGTTTCGATGTTTTACGCATGTCCCTAATAACTATTAACTTTCTAATAACTATTAACTATGTACTAAACAATAGAATAAACAATTTTAAGAATAAACCGTAACAGTAACACAGACTTTTTTACTTAAATAATAAAGTACTAACGGTTTTCTGAACGACTTACACTTTTTAAGAATAATTAACTCAATAACTCACCGTGAAATTATCTATGGCAATGACGATTTTCGATGAATTAAACAAATAGATTAACTTAGACGTCGATTCGCTACTATCACATATGTTTAGCTTTAGTGCACCCAAAGAGTGACTTAGTTGGCGTAAAGCCAAACGGCCAGAGTTCTGTGAGATAATTTATATTAAATAAGAACCATTGATTAGCGTTTGTTTAATCTTCGTGGCTATAAATATAATACTTAGTCTGGCCATAAATACTGTTACAATTAAAAATAAACAAAATATTACATTTGAATTTGGAATCTGTCATTTTTATATGATTGCTCATTGAGTTTTCTCATTTTGGCGCCAATACATTGTACAATATTTTGCGATATTAAAATGGAGTGGGGTGATAAAGAGAACCGAATCGCTGTGATTGCATTACACAAAGTAGGTATGGAGCCAAATGCAATTTTTAAAACTCTCCATACGCTTGGTATTAGTAAAATATTTGTGTACCGGGCTATTAATAGGTGCAATGAGACCTCCTCTGTTTGTGACAGAAAAAGATCTGGCCGTCCACGTAGTGTTCGTATGAAAAAGGTGGTCAAAGCAGTAAGGAAAAGAATTCGAAGAAATCCTGTCCGAAAGCAAAATATTTTATCTCGGGAGATGAAGATAGCACCTAGAACTGTGTTGCGTATTTTAAAAGATGACTTAGGACTTGCAGCCTATAAGAGACGTACTGGTCATTTCTTAACTGATAATTTAAAAGAGAATAGGGTGGTAAAATCGAAACAACTACTAAAGCGGTACGCAAAGGGAGGTCATAGAAAAATGTCGTTTACGGATGAGAATTTTTTTACAATTGAGCAACATTTTAACAAACAAAATGACCGTATTTATGCTCAAAGCTCTAAGGAAGCTTCCCAATTAGTCGACAGAGTGCAACGTGGGCACTATCCGACTTCAGTGATGGTTTGGTGGGGTGGGTTTTTAAGTCGTTGTGGCCTAAAGGATAAGACGTCCGGTGCGGAAGAGTCATCAGAGCTGAAGACTGGCCGTCGTCTGGTCCCGATCTTAATCCGCTGGATTATGATTTATGGTCAATTTTAGAGAGTACGGCTTGCTCTAAACGCCATGATAATTTGGAGTCCCTAAAACAATCCGTACGATTGGCAGTGAAAATTTTTCCCATAGAAAGAGTGCGTGCTTATAGAAGAACGTTGAGGCCAGTTATCAATAGTGATAACTGGCCTCAACGTTTAGAGGACTGTATTGCAGCCAATGGAGACTTCGAATAAGTTTTTTATACTTTAAATTGTTTTATATTTATGTATTAAACTAACACACTGTAAAAGTAATAAATGTTATTTGCAATAGTTTTATTTTTTATTTTTTATTGTAGCAGTATTTATGGCCAGACTAAGTATAAATGAATACGATTGAGACAAAAATATTTAATATAATACTGTACAATACAACAAAATACTGTAAAAGCTCATTATTCACGCTTCCTTCATTCGCGTTTATACTATTCGCGGGTTAAATAAATGCGACCCAATTCCTATATTCACTGTTAAAGATTTCTTCATTCATTAATATATTAAATTTTTATCATAACTCAAAGTCATTCTTTTATCGCAGAAGTCGATCATAAGCACATACTAGTTACGTGTTTATTAAAAACGATAATAGCCTAATGGATTATAATATTGACATCATCAGTTGCCAATCGATAGTTAGATCTGCGCTAATAGAGAGTCTAGTTCGTATTGTTTGAAAAACCGTATTGAAAATACTGTGAAGAATTAATCGAGATTATCTCCGGGACTATTTATTTTTTATTTTTGCTACATATTCGAAAACCGTTCTTTTATCGGTAATATCAATGAGTGGCCGTAGACTCTCGTTTGTTTCCGTTTTGTACGTAAACAATTATTCTATTAGTATTTGGAGTTAGTATTTTAACACGTATTAGCGAAATTTCACCTCAACATCTGCTATTTCCAAATATCCCTGATTACTTTGCGTGTCGTATGAATCTTCATTGGACATGTTCGTTAATTCAACATCGACAGTCTTCTCTTTTATAACGTACGGACGAGCATTTTCCACATCGATTAGCTTTATAAATCTTCTATCACGCTTTAATCTTTAAAATGCAGAACTATATATCCTTAATGTTTTATTAAATAACAACAATATAGTTCTCTGAGAATCTTACATAGAAGGTACTGTAGTATTAATTTGATTTGTCTGGTTTAATACATCGGCTATGGCAGGAGCAACTTGTACTAAATTTTCCCATGATTTATGATCAACAAGTGATCCTACCGCTGGTTTTGTACTGAAAAAAAAACCTGTATTTTTTTCTTCCACTTAGCACCGAGTGCATTACAATATCTGTACCACTTAATGATTTTGTAAGTAAGCCAGAAGCACAAAGACCTTTTATATTAATAAACAATTCATCCATATAAAACCCACAAATTAGTTATGAAGATAAATAAAAGCCTTTTATTTCGTGCAAGTGACTTATAAAAACAAAATTAAATCTATGTGATCTCTGTGAATAGTTGTCTAACAATTGTGTTTGTTGAATAATATTAGGTACTATTTCCACTAGCAAGGATCCCTCCTCGGATAAAAGCCTCCTCCAAGGATAGCCAATCTTCTCTAGATTGGGTTTTTTCAACCCAATTTGTAGTTGCTACTTTCTTTATAGCTAGCTTCTTCCCATCTAGTGTATATTATTGAAGTATTGAAGATACTTAAATTAAATATACTTTTACCGTAGATATGTATAATACTGTGATCACACATTACCAGGAGAAGACGTAAGTAAGAAGTCCGTAAAAAAACAGGAATTTCAAGCCTTTTTACGTTACAGCACAGATAAATATTACAATCTCATTGTGGAGAATGATTGCATATAAAATTATGCTTTTATACCTACCTTTTATATCCGGTATGATTGAATAAAGAATCATTCGATGATGAATTTGATTCGATGTCTGAAATGAAAATGATGCTTGTTAGGGAATTTTTCAACTTTTCTTTTGATATTAAAAAATAGTTCACCCGTGTCGTCTTCGATATCAGGAACATATATTTCTGAAGAGTAAGCCGACGTAGTTTCCATATTTTCAAAACTAGATTCTCGATTTAAAACGCTATTGTATATTTCAGTTTTATTCTTTGGGGGCATAGGCTTAGTGAATTGCAATGTAATAGTTTTTTCTGTTTGGCTAAGAAACTTGGAATCGCTGAAATATCGTTTTTAAATTAGCCATTAACTTCAAGCTAATATCTAACGAATTATAACTATGTAAATATAGTGATGGGAAAAGTTGAACCCAACAACATCAACAATTCAAAATGTACACATTTTTCAAAGTTGATTCATGTAAAATGTTAGAGAACTTTCCGATAGGGTACGGACTTACAAATCGTTTCTGAGATGTATGTAATATTTACTTTCAAAATCAACGAACTAAAATTATAACTATTTTTCGTACATCCAAACAGAATAATAATAATAAGCAACTGTAATAATGACAAATTACTGGTAGGACCTCTTGTGATTCCGCACGGGTAGGTACCACCGCTCTGCCTATTTCCGCCGTGAAGCAGTAATGCGTTTCGGTTTGAAGGGTGGGGTAGCCATTGTAACTATACTGAGAGCTTAGAACTTATATCTCAAGGTGGGTGGTGCATTTACGTTGTAGATGTCTACGGGCTCCAGTAACCACTTAACACCAGGTAGGCTGTAAGCTCATCTACCCATCTAAACAATAAAATAAAAAAAGTTGTAGACGTTTATTGGAAAATATTCCTATACTTATTACAACTATTTTCAATTAATATATTTAATTAATTTAATGTTATTTACTTACATGTAAGTCTCTATAGGAAGCGTCGTTACAACTTGTAGGTTTGGAATAATTTTAACCGTATTATATAAAGACAAATTTGGCAATAGGTATACTGCAAATTAATATTTATTTATATAGGATACGCATTAATATATATTCTATACTAGCTGACCCGGCAGACTTCGTAGTGCCTCAATCGATAGGTAAATAAAAGACCTAAACTTTTGTACAAAATAAACTTAAAACAAACAAAAGGAATCCGTCCGACGGGGGACACATCAAAGGAAAAACAAAATTGTTATTTTTATTTAATTCCGAGCATTTTCATATTTATTTACCTTTTAAACCTTCTCTGGATTTCCACAAATTATTCAAGACCAAAATTAGCCAAATCGGTCTAGTCGTTCTCGAGTTTTAGCGAGACTAACGAACAGCAATTCATTTATATATATATAGAAGAAGAAGAAGAAGACTATACATTTTTCTGATTCCTTGTACGAAATGGTTTGCGGGATAGTCGTTGTTTTAGTGCAATTAAAACTTCGAGCTCTTTTCTCGATATGGGTGAAGAAGGCATTCAGGTTGTATTGTGACGTCAGCTCATCCATGGATTTAGTGCAATAAACAAAATAATCACAAATTAAAGAATGACGTTACCGTTAAATACAAAAATAAAAATGTTAGTGGGTTATTTCACGATGTTTATTCCTTTACCGTGGAAGTCAATCGTGAACATTTGTTACGTAACATATTTCATCAGAAACATTGGTACCCGCCTGCGGGATTCGAACATCGACGCAGTCGCATTTCTACGTTGTATGTATGGCTAATATTATATGAATTTTACTTATCTATACTAATATTATAAAGAGGAAAGATTTGTTTGTTTGTTTGTTTCGAATAGGCTCCGAAACTACTGGACCGATTTGAAAAATTATTTTTCCATTAGAAGCCGACATTGTCCCTGATGAACATAGGCTACTTTTTTTAATTTTTTTTTTAATTTTTTTGTTTGGTTTCATGTGTGTTTTAATGTTTCCGAAGCGAAGCGAGGGCGGGTCGTACTATAATAATTGTGATATTTGTGATGACGCAATGGTAATAGGTCTACTCACTATTGTTGACGGTCTAAATAATTATGTATTAAGTTTTTTTTTTAAATACCGCTTTTGTTATTATCCAAGTTAAGACTATTCCAATCTTTCATGAACGATATTTTATGTTGTTCGCTTTTATTGCTCGAGTCGTTCTTTAGGACACTCATCAGATGCTCGATAAGCCTCCACGAGTTTGTACTGCTCAGATTAGATTTTGCCTTTGGAGGTGAGAGGATGGAAGTTACTGAAGGCAATTTGGTTTTTGTTTTCAATATCCGTGGCTTAGTAATAAAATATTTTAATTCATCTGTAAAGTGATAATTTATTGAGGCAGTTCCTCCTGCGTATACATATTATGTAATGTAACTATGACTATTGCATCCAACGAAAACCTCTTCAATGTTTTTTTTTTATTACGTATAAAATATCGCCGGATTTATATTTAATAAGAGGTGAAAAATTAAATAATATTGTATGAGCTATACATATTTCAATTTATGTATCGTATGTATGTATTTTTAGGTATAGGTACGTGTGTGTTCAATGTATTTAATGCATTTATTGGAGTACGTGTATTTTTGTATGTGTTTATGTTTTTACTTTTTTTTTATTGCCTTTGTAGGCAGACGAGCATACGGCCCACCTGATGGTGAGTGGTTACCGTCGGCCATGGACTTCAGCAATGCCAAGGGCAGAGCCAAGCCGCTGCCTACCGCTTAATACTCTCCACAAGCCTCGTTTGAAGAAGGACATGTCATAGCGCTCGGGAAACACCGTGGAGGTTACTTTATTTTTCAATGCATCTACAATTACATATTTCCTCTGCCGTACCTTTGGATGATTGGTATATTACTATTTCGCCTTAGGCATTAAGTCCGCCAATGTGTATAAATACATGAAGTGTAATAAATAAAAATAAAATGAAGTATATATAAATGAAAATTAAATACGTACTGAACTTTTGTCTTTCGGAGAAAGGTCGAGTTTGTAAAGTTCCAAATAATGTTCTATGCCTATTTCCAAAATGTAATAATTTATTTGGATTATTCTTAAGTTTTTTGTATTTATTTCTTCGTTTTGTAGATATTAGTCCTTTGTAATTGTTCATCAATCTGTTGAAAATCTTATTAATAAATAAATCATATAATATCTAATTGTAAATGATTGTTTTATTTTTTCATTTCTTAGTAACTATTTTAGTTACTTCGTTCTAACGATAATTTATTTAAAAATATCCCACGAAATATTTAAGACCTATAAAATGCCCTACACCTGTGGGTAATACGTTCATCATTAATTTTCGATTCATTCCTTCGATTCGATTCATTCATTTCAATTCATTTTAGGCAGCGGCTTGGCTCTGCCCCTGGCATTGCTGAAAAGTCCATAGGCGACGGTAACCACTCACATCAGGTGGGCCGTATGCTCGTCTGCCTACAAGGGCAATAAAAAAAATCATTCGATTACCTACATACCTTATCGTTTCCATTTTCAGGTCCATTGTACTAAAAAATAAAATAAAAAAAAAAGGTCTATTGTACTAAGGAAAGAAAAAAGGTACCCGATTAAAATGGATGTAACATACGGACAAACCGACTGGTCAGACTGGCCACAGTGTGAACGTCGTCGCCTACCTTGACACAGTCAGTCCAAGTCCCATATACATATTTGAACAATGACTATCCTTTATACCACAATGCGTGATTGCTTTGCGGCACAAATAGAACGGATGTGCATCTCATAGCTTTCCCTAAACAGCTCCTGACGGATGCTTCTAATCTACTGTCAATGCTGTTGGATACTGCTAGTATTAACGCTAGTAGCGACCAAAGTACATGTCACTGCACTCGTCGAACTTGTTGTAGAGCTCTTCTCAGCGGGCCAATGGCTCATGCACTTGCAAAACAGCTTCCCTTGGGCTGTTAGACCTACTTAAAACGCGCTTTGATAGCTGTTAAAAAAAACGGTAGGCAGCGGCTTGGCTCTGCCCCTGGCATTGCTGACGTCCACGAGCGACGGTAACCACTCACCATCAGGTGGGCCGTATGCTCGTCTGCCTATACGGCAATAAAAATAAAAAATAAATGTTAGCAAACCCTCCACTCCCGATTGTGCCCTCGAGTTTGTTCACTGTGTTATTTGTTAATCGGCAAGTGCTCTAGGCCAAATGCAATTCTTCCATACAAAAAACTCGACCCACAAACAGTGCTTAAAATAGGAAATAGGAAGGGGTGGAGGCATATTGGAGGTAGGAAAACTAAGTGAATATTTTATTCCAGGAACGGTAGCAATAACACAAGGATGTCGATCACCGTGGTACGTGAGGAATGTAGATCTTCACGACGACTTAAATGTAGAATCGATACGTAAGTATCTTAAGGAAGCGTCAGAACGCTACTTTGAAAAAGGGACGCGGCACGATAACTAACTAAAACTCTGTGCCGAGTTCGACGAGTATGGTTACCGGGCTCCCTACTCCTAGTGTTAAAGCTAAAGGCGTCTAATGCAAGGATTTGGACATACCTCTTATCTGGTGTAAACATATTTAATTTTTGTTGTGATTTAGATACAGAAAATTCAGCTGCTTCTGTTGCATTCGCGACAGAAAACTGAACTAATGGAATTAAGCTTGTTTCGTAAGCTTTTTCTGGTCTAAAACATAAATCAACACGATAATTTATATTTTTACAACGTATTCGTAACAATAGACACACGGAGCCCGCGTAAATATGGGCTTATAGGCCAGCATAGCAATCCGAGGGATTCGATAGCTCCACACACAAAAGATTGGTTCTCTAAAACTGTTTTCTTCGGTTTCTGCGAGTCGTAGACATAATTCAAACTCCTTTTACGTTACGTTACAACTATTTTTAATGTCAGAAATAATAAAAAACATGAGATTAAAACATATCAAAAGCATTTTTGATGATCCGGCTTTAAATGTATTTTATTTTTCAATTCTCAACATCAATCTCTACAATGTAGATTGTGTCCTCTTCTATAATATTTAGATTATTATTTTGGCAGCGGCTTTGCTCTGCCCCTGGCATTGCTGATGTCCATGGGCGACGGTAACCACTCACCATCAGATAGGCCGTATGCTCGTTGGCATACAAGGGCAATAAAAAAAAGATTAATATTTTTTTATAATAACTATGGCTTTTGATCTAGCTATCTCTTTGTAAAACCTATTTAATTTATTCAAGATCTTACCGAGGTGCTACGTCATACAAAACATCGAGTAAATTGATAATATCGAAACGATTTCTCATCGAGTCTTTACTGTCTCCTGATATAACAACGCCAGAAATATTAACTATTGGCACTTCGACTGTAATGTAATCTTTATGATCATTGTTTTGTATCGAGTTTTTATTTTGTTCGCTATTTTCATTTTTAACGTTATCATCGTTCGATCCGGTATCATCGTCACTGAAATGTAAATATATCTTACAATATATCTTACAAAGTGTTTCTGTTGTTGAGCCAACAGATCAGGAGGTGTCAACAAAGTTATGTAAGATTTTCAGGGTTCAGTGTCTTTCAGATTTCGGTCACATTCACGGATAACACATAGCTTTTTGACACAATGAACGTATTGCCACTTTGTTTTCATAGTTGCGATACATTCTAAAGTGATCCCGTCTAGCAATCAGAAATACCTATCGATCCATATGCAGCACACCTTTTGCGACATTTTTTTTTATTGCCCTTGTAGGCAGACGAGCATACGGCCCACCTGATAGTGAGTGGTTACCATCGCCCATGGACTTCAGCAATGCCAGGGGCAGAGCCAAGCCGCTGCTTACCGCTAATGATGCATACGGGAACTGTCACTTATCAGTTGGATTTTATGTTCATCCAGGATGCCCACGGGCACTAAGCTCGCTATCGTTACGATAAGACAGACAGGGGCTCAGTAATGGTTGTTCCACACTTCAAACCAAAACGCATCATCCTTCGCGGCATGATCTATGATCATGACTTTGGAGTGTTTATAGGGTGATTTGGCCCGATAAGTATTGTAGTTTTGTAGTGTAAGTTAATGTATAAAATGATATGTGCGTATTGTGTTGCTTTTGTTTTTTTGTAATTTAAATTTCTAAATTTCTCTTCTTGTTCACTGTCTACTTATATGTGATTTTGATTGTGGAAACATATTTGGTTATTGTTTTAGCTATATTTTTTTAAATATTTATGTTTTGTATTGTACTGTTTGTTTCCCAAATAAATAAATAAATAAAAATAAATAAATAAACTACCATAATAACGAAATACCACCATATCGTAATATTGAAGTCTATATTTACGTGGATTCAGTCGCATCGGTAGTTTTAAGTGAATAATAACGAATCGTGTTATCTTTCTTTCGATTTATCAACGTTTCCGGAACGTCACCCCAGTAACCACCGAAATTTTCTTCAACGTCGTATACAAGCAGCTGACTTCTACTTCCTGAACAAGATCTAAGGAGACTCTCGGTCGATAAAATTTCTATGACGAGAATAATATCGTTATCCACTTCTGTTCTGTAAATGAAGTTTACCAGTAATTACTTATTTATTTATTTATTACACTATATGTTTTTGTATACATTGATGAGCTTCATGCTTAAAGCATTATCTAACAGTCAACCAAAATTATACAAAAAGAAAAGATTTATTATCAAAATCAATTTACAGTTTGGACATCCGCGGTGCTCACACTAAGCAAGCGTGTATCATGAGCATCTGTAACTCTTAACAGTTATTATTTACGCCTCGGCTCTCAAACCATAGATGAAAAAATTACAATGCCTAAATTCTACGTTATATAGGTATTTTTCAATTTTTTTATTAGTAACAAAAAATCACATTAGATTAATATGATTACGCAAATTCTTTTGCGAACAGCATTCGCCGAATCCTTTGACCGTGAGCACAGCATACAGCAACATACATTCTAACTACGAAGACAACCGACTTTTATAAAATAAAAAGGGAAGGAATATCATCAATGTAGTCGAAGTCAATAAATATGCATTTTAAGAAAAAACTAATGGACAGCAAGTACTTCTTAATAAAATTTAAATGGGACCACGTATAATAAAAAGCGCCTGTTCACCTAGAAAAAGTTCTGAGGAAACAAACTTTTAAAAATACGCTGTTTTTTTAGGCAGTTAAAAAAATATAGCTTAATGACTGATTTAACAAACAGTGTTTAACAAACCTTACACTTATAAAACAGCTATAAGGTAAATCTAGCGGAGAAAAATGCAGTATCTTCGCGTTTGCCCCAATAACCTGACTCGCCAAAAACATAGAAGGGACAACGCGACGGCGGCAATGTTCTGATATATCTTTTTTACAAACAAATTTATTAGATGGCAACGTATATGCTAAGCCGTATTGTAACTTTATTAAAATAAAGTATAATATTGTGAAAGGTTTAAACATTTTTACTTGAAAACTATGATTGAATTCACAGCCTTCTCGTCAAGGCCGCGTAGGTTTCCGAAATATACCTATTAAAAATAAGTATTTTATTTTAATTAAAAAGAGGCTCTCTACTTTAAAAAACAAGAAAAAGGAATTATTCAATCTGTAAAATACAAGACACGCTCGATGATGGCGCTCTTATTATTTAGCTTCTGTGGTTACAGTTCTGGTTCCATTCCAAGGAG